CAATAATCCTATATAAATGTATCAAACCTCGGCCTCATCCTGCCTGCCACATTATGCATTTGTACTCTAAGGTAATACGCACCTTTTAGGAGTAAAAAAAAGGTATAAAGATGTCTTTTTAAGGGTACTGCCCCAGTGACGAGCTGCTGTTGTTCCCCTAAAGCTACTTTTTTTTAACACCTTTTTTCTGTGTTGGTACTCAATTATTAATAAAAGTTCTTCTTATTAACAAGATTATATCTTCTAATTATATCTTCGCTTAACAAATTGCTTATATCCCATGATCCTTTCGAAATAGTTCTAAAATGCTGATTTGTATAATTGAGCACCAAATCAGCATAGCAAAATAACAGCAAAATAATTTAGTAAATGAGGATAATTGAGGACCGATTCAGCATTTTAGAACTATTTTTAAAGGATCATGGGATATAAGTGATTTATTAAGAAAAGCGTTGACAAATCTTACTGACCCCAAACTGTTGAACAGTAGTGTCTCTCAGCATATGCCTGTGTGTAGACAGCTGTTGTGACGCCTCCGGTTTGCCCATTGAAAAACTATCCATGGACTGTCCTGTCACTGTATGCTGATCTATAGTGCCGACATTCCAAAGGCAATGTGAGGGTGTGGATGAGAGAATTTAAGAGGCAAAAAATTAGTGTGTTACCAATAACCAATGGTGAACAGTGACAGACTGCATGTAGGAAATGGCAAAGAGACGAGTAACTTTATTCGCATCTAAGTCATGTCAAGAAAACTGCAATCTCAAAGCTACAGTACTGACAAAATCTTTACTGAGCTGTTCCACAAATCTATCTGAAATAACATATCCACCATCTGAGCCTTGTCAAACAATAGAGAATTGCAGTATTCATGGGTAAGTGCACAAGCGTGGCAGCTTGTCCATTACATAACGGAAATGCCAGCTTAATTGCCCTTTAACACAAGCTGCAGATGGCATTGAATGTTTGTCACACTCAAGTACACCCAGAGGGCTTTGCACTAATATTCCCAGTAACTAATCAGCTGGTCTAAGCTGCAGCTGTGGATCAGAATAAAACATTTTGAGGTGGGATGGACAGGACTTAATTTTACCCATCGGGAATAGGATTGTGTAAAGGTTGGAATTATAAGCCAGGCGGATGCCATGGGAAGGAGTTGAAAAAAAGGGAAGTTTATGTTATGTGTCAGAGTGCTTATCAGTTTATTTGGTGATGATTCAGAATCAATTTCACTAGTTTAGTTTAGTTTATTAATTTTAAATTTTTATTTTAAAATTTTATTTTAATTTTTATTTTTTTAAAGAAAAAGAGCAGCTTTAGCCTCTACGGCTAATTTCCAGCTGTAGTCCCCAGCCAGTTGTGAATGGGCATACATCAATAAAATACATTACAATTATATTTACAGCAGGACTTATCAAGAGGGGACAGACATACTAAACATGTGACATTCAATTCAAACAAATAAGCAAGCAGACACAGATTGCAAAGGCACAATAACAATTCATGCAGTAAGACAATACAACACGACACAAACAATAATCATACAGAGGCCACATTAAGGCACATACTGGACATAACATTGAGGCAGGCAGCCGAAACCAAGTGGCAACAACATGATCATGTCACATCAAATACACAACACATCTGTCAAATTAGTGTGTGCAGCTGTAATTGTCAGACAGCCAGTTTTTAAGATGTATAATAAAATTGGAATACATATGTATATCTTTGATTGTAGTGGGCAGTGAATTCCAATTTTGTATCGCTAAAGTACTAAAGTACTGGTTTGAGTTTTCTAAAATATGAAAACCAATCTCATGAGAAAATTGTATATTTTGGTAAATTTGTATGAATACATACAAAATAAAATGTATAAAACATACAATTTATAGAAAAAACTAAGCAGGAAATCAAAGTTAAAGCTTCTGTACTGTGTAAGCAGATTGTACGAAAACATTCAAATGTAATTCATCAAAACATATAATAGTTACGAATTTCAATGAAAGTGTTTTGGAAATAACACTTGGCAGTAAAATAATAAACTGGTCTGGATAGTGTAGATGATCTTTAAATAGCCTGTGTTTTGCTTCCTTTTCATGATGACCCAGAGACTCATTCTTTTTAAAGATGTTACAGACTATTATAAGTGTTTTTAGTGTCTTTATTTTAGGCCCGACAAGTAGGGAAGAAACTTCACACCATTAGCTGGTTCCTACAGCATCTTTCTAGAGTGTTCTTTTACTTTCTGCATTTGTTTCAAGGTATAGGGGACAATAAAAAAAGGACATATAGCCACTAAGCGAATGCCATAGTTTCAGTTACTGAGACTCAAATAGTGTTGACAGCGTTTTCACTCTCTGAGTGTTGCACGACTTTCTTGGTAAGTTATAAATCTGTCAGTTGCAAAGGGATATCTGACAACTGCATCTTATTTTTATGTCTAAATGCTCTCTCGCATATGCTCTCTCTATCTCTATTTAATCCATTATGTCTGCTCCCGTTTAGCCTCAGTGAACGAGAGACACATTATCAGTTATTGTAAGGAGTGTGTGTGGAAATCCTCGACTGTTGCTATTCTTAAGTGGAGTGACATTATTATAACATTATCCCGACATAATTTCTGTCTGCTACTGTCTGCATTATCACGTTCCCAGCTAACAGGGATCGTTCTCAGAATTTTGGATAACGTTCTGGCAAGGTTCTTTCAGTTATGAAGAAACGTTTTTTTCCAGTATGTTCTTTCAAAGTTATTTGGTATTATAAAATGGATAGTTCTGGTCCTTGATTCTGATTGGTTGAGCCATGTTCAAAGTCGTTGTAAATTACTCAACAAACATACACCTGTGACCGCATTACATTAGTAGTACTGTGCAACTGCCATTTGTGATTCTTTGTTGCTGCATGTGTTGCTTGGCTCTTTGGAACTACATTGCTTGGCTGACGAATAAATGTTTTATAACGTTATATTTTTTTGTTGCTGGTGTGAATAAAATATATATATATATTAAAATGAATATTTTTATTACTTAGTTACTTAGGCCCCGTCCACACTACTGTGTTTTCGTTTAAAAACGGAGACCTTTTGCTACGTTTGCACCTCCCGTCCAGACTAAAACGAAAAAAAACGAAGACCTAAAACGGAGAAGTGTAGAAACGCTCCGTTTTGCGTTTTGAATCTCCGGAGGGCGTTTTAGTGTAGACGAGGCAAAACGGAGGACTTCAGTAACGCTGACGCAGAGGCTGACGCTCGGCTCTATGATTGGGTGTTATCAATCATGATGTACTAACCTTCCCTGATTTGTCAACCACTGTTTACACCGGTACGCACATGCCCAGTGTTGGTAAATGGTCACGTGATCTGCGTTTTCAGTCGTTTTAATGTGGACAGAGATCATCTCTAATACGCAGAAAAAACGCTGGTGTGGACGGAGATCGTATTCGTTTTAATTCTCCGTTTTTAAACGAAAACGCAGTAGTGTGGACGGGGCCTTAATCACGATACAGTACTTGCCTCGAGTACCTTATTACTTTTATAAAACGGTTACCACAAATTATTTAAGTAAAACAAATTTGTATTAGTGCAATTTTCATGAATTAAAATCACTAAAAGCCTTTTTTCCGCCAGAAAAAAAAGTCCCTGACCGTGAACAGCAACAACGTTCCAATATGTAATTTGCATGAAAGCTCACATAAAACAACAACATAGGAACTGCAGTGTTGCTGTTACATGTATGTCCTGTCTTTCCCCCTGCTTAGTGTGTTTGGTTTAGTCCTATCACAGTTTTCCCGCTCCTTGTTAGTGTTCAGTTCATTCACCTGTGTTTAGTTAATTTGTCCCAGCTGTGCCTTGTTTCCTTAATCTGTGCTCTGTGTATTTAAACCCTGTGTTCTCCTTCACTCCTGGTCAGTTCTTGATTATGTATAGTGTGGTGTCTGTGACTCCTGTGATTTTGATTAAATTCCTGTTTCCCGGTTCTCCTCGTGCTTCCTGGTCACCACATACCATAGCAGTTGCACATGATGTGATAAATAAAACCGTTGGGTGAGGTGGTCATAGCCATGTTTTATCATGAATAAAGCACAGCTATTGACCAATCAGAATCAAGGATTGTAACTAACCGTTTTATAAGTTAAAAAAAAATGGAAAACTCAGAGCATTCTTAGGGGTAATTCAGAATGTTTTTCCATCCCTCGTGATACTTTTCCATTGTTTTTCTATGTGAACACATGCTAGAAGGACATGTTTGATATTGTACCCCTGTCTTTTGTAGTGTTTTGTTAATTTTATTCTAAAGTTCGGTACTCAAGATAAAAGAAGTTCAACTTCAAGTTTAATTCATCTTATTTAAACTAATTCACAATTAAACAGCAAAAATACATTTTGTGTGAACTGGCCCCCTCTAACACATTTCGTCACAAATGTAACACATTTTTGGGCTAACATGTCTATTTGGTGACAGTATTTAGTATTCATATAAGAAAGATGCAAATGCTATGATTATAACACCTTACACATTCCACTCCTCATATTCGGAAATCCTGAAAGTGATAAGAGAGAGAGTGAAATGTGTGTGTAGCACACTGTAAAATGAATATATAGCAGGCACACCGAGTGCATTCCTGGTGTCCAGACTGTCTGGTGTCAGAGTATTACTACATGTGCACACACACTGACGCCACCATTACTAGCTGTTGTCTGTCATGGATCCATATTAAGGTCTGTGTCTCCATTTGATACACAACAAACATGTTTAAAGCAGAATATCTTCTATATCTGCCACACTGAGTAAATATAACCTGTGCTAGTCATAGAACAGCTTAGGTAAAAACACACAGTCGCCAAACAGTAGCTAAATATTCTATGTTGTTTAATGCCCAATACATAAAGTATTGGGCATTAAACAACATTGAATATTTAGCTAATAATTAAGCATGCTAATTCATTCTTCAAAACAAGATATACTTTTAGCATCTATTTACTGTAGTTTGATGTTTTACAGGTGAAAGTGTCATTTTTCAGAACACAGATCAGTGGAGATCATCATGAATACAGGTAAGTGCGTTTTTAAAATACCTGTGTAATTTCTTTGCCATTAGCCCATCATTAGTGTGCATTTGTAATCAGATTTTATGTAAAAATGTCATGACATGTGGTAGGCTAATAAGATATTGTGTCAAAAAAGAGATGCAGTAAGAGGTGAAGTAAGTGCTTCTGGTTCATACATCACATTTTAAATAAAAGGTCAAGCCAAGCACATTGCATTGTGGGAAATGCTATAATCACACAGTAAGGTCTGTTGTATACTGTTCATTTGGACCACCTTCGGACCAATAATATTACCGCATTACTTTATCAGATGTGTTTACATGACACCTGGTTAGGAAATAATGTCATTAGGTGTGTACGACTTGAAGCAGCACTGTGCCGACCAATTTGTGCATGACATCAAAATTATTTGAGAGCTACTAGAGAGTAGACGGCTCAGTATGCTTTCAAATCGCTTTTGTGGTACTCCGATGTCATACACCAATCCGTCTGCAACGAACAGACCTACAACTATATGTCAGCTTTCCTGCAATGCTTTGCAAATCAGTTACTGCATTGTATGCTGTTTTGTAAATGACTAATTACCATTCAAAATTTTGGGGTTTGTAAGATTATTATTATTTTGTCTTATGACAAAAGCACTCTTATCAAAAAGTCTCTTATCAAAAGTACAGTATACTGTATACATTTTATGAAATATTATTACAATTTAAAATGTTTTCAATTTTAACGTATTTGATAAAAAGAATTAATTTATAATTATTAATTAACAACAATATTTCTAATATCTTGGTTTTGTGCTCAAGAAACAATTCTTATTATCAATGTTTAAAACAGTTGTGCTGCTTAAAATTTTGTGCAAACTGATATTTTTGTAAGGATTCTTTAAATGATAGAAAAGTAAAAATGAAAAAAAAACATTTATTTGAAATACTTTTTTTTGTAATTATTTTTCTTTACTCTCACTTTTGATCTATTTAATAAAATAATTTGATTATTTTATTTTCTAAAATAATCAAACTGACCCCAAACATTTGAACAGCAGTGTACATTGTTTCATTTTATTTACTTTTTCTCTTTTTTTGCATTATGAGTTGTTGCAATAATGTTGCATTTAAATTGCATGTGCTCTTTTGCATGTATGCTTCTCTCTCTCTCTCTGTGTGTGTGTGTGTGTGCAAACAAACACTCCAGATAGCGGAGGACGTGCTAATAAAACAGCATCCCTGTTGCTTACTCTCTGGCCTGTGAAGAAGGCCCAGAGCTCACCCAACCTGTACGCTGCTGCAGGTATCAGTAATGGAGCGGGACTGTCTAACAGACACAGATCTTTAAAATAGAGTTTTTAGAATGTCTTTTTGCAAATCGGTGTTCCATAAGTAATTTAGAAGAGTTTTCTGCCCACTGTTCGTGTGTGCGTCTGCAAGCATGCTTGTTTTGCGCATGCTTAAATAATGCACAGATAATACTCAATTAATATGTAACTAATGATTATTTAAGCTATTAATTATTGATTACCACATTAGGAACTAATTAAGAGTCTGTTGCGTTAATGTATTGGTTTATACATGAATTGTTATTAATTAAATATGTAATTGTGGATTAATTCCATAATAACTCATTTTTTAACTAATAGTGTTAATTAATATGTTAATTACCAGAATGAGCCAAAGCCTTGTATTTCAACTTCCAGATAATATGACGGGTATACTAATATGCATTAATACATCATTAATTACTTCATTGTTAGTGCAAATTCATGTGCAAATTACTACTAAATAACTAGTTAATAATTATGTGCCCCAACAAGTAAAGTCATAACATAATGATACCTTTGCAAATCATTAGCTGATGATTAATTAAAACAGACAACTGGAAGTTGAAGTGCATAACTTTGACTAATTGTGGTAATTAACACATTAATTTACACTATTAGTTATTAAGGAATATGTTAATAAGGAATAACACTAATATGTTATTAAGGAATTAATACACAATGACACACTGAATTAATAGCAATTCATGTATTACTTAATCTATTAATCACATTGACTCTTTATTAGTTGCTGATGCAGTAATTATTAATTAATGGTTTAGTTCTTCATGAGTTATACAAACTCAAGATTATCTGTGCATTAGTTAAGGATGAATTAATGCATATTTGTGCGCCCGTATTGTAAAGTGTTACCGAGGTATTTTCAGATTTAGGCGTTTATTGTCAATATGATAGTTCACCCACATAATATTATTTTCTCACTCTCAATATTCCTTGAATATTCATAGCAGAGTTACAAGAAACAGAAAACAATGACCTGTATGTGTTTTAGATAATTAACATCTTTAAATTAAGCCTTTCAATTTAATATGTTAATTTAGGGTCATTATAACAAAATAAAAAGGTTAATGTCATTAATCATGTGCCTTAAGCCATAATAATGTAATTAAACATTAATAGTGTGTGTATGTGAAATTTTCTTACCATCAGAGCAATTCATGGTTAAAGTTAATTTGACAGTTATAATATGCCAGTGAAAGAAAAAAGAAAAGAAAAAGAAACTACTGGACACATTTTCTCTGAACAAAGGATGTGCTGTAACAGTTTTCCAATTGAATGTAACCTAATCTGGCTTCTTAATTTAAAAATAATGTTTAGTTTTATGTGGTAAATATTGTAGACTACCTTATTGTAGACTACAAAGATTGTTCAGGCTACCCTTAATGTTACCCACTTTACCCTTTGAAAAACACACTATCTATTATACTACACTGGTCTCAAGTAAAAATAGAAAATTGCTGCAATTTTTCTGTGCTAGTTACAAGGATCCAGACAATTTTATTGTTATTTTCTGTTGCTTTAGTGAGTTTGCTGAAAAAGTGACATGATGTCAAGACCTGCCAGGGATTTGACAACAAATCTTTACATTTTAAAAAGCTGCTGAATGTTGAATTGTTTATGGTACATAGGCTACTGATTTATCAGATGTCAGTTTGAATAGCAAAATGGAGACAATAACCTTCACTTTCACATATAACAGTCCATACATTACTGTACTCTTTGTCATCCTCAAAGCATGTATATTTTGCACTATAAGATTTTTGTTATTCCACTCTCTAAATGTACGTAGTGTTGTAGTTTTTTAATCATCATAATGAGTAAGAGGAGTAGGTGTTTCAAACATTATGTGGTCTTAGCTCTCTCTGTGTTAAGTTGTAGCTTCTGCTCTTTAATCTTCTGTCCTCTGTAATTCTGCACCTCTATTTTCATTCTCATATTGTGTCCTCCAGTTAGATGTTTTAGGAAAGCAGGGAAAGGTAAGGGGATGGAGAGGGAGAGAAAATGCGACCGCCTTCGCTGAGTGCCAAAGAAGAAGCCAGGCATAGTGACACTCCAGGCCTACACATACACAAACTCTTACACATACATACAGATATGCATTCACCAGCCCCACACCCCATCCCTCGCCTTCGCCGCTTTTCACCCCCCAGTCTGACAGGCGGGTCTGTGACCAGCACCGAGAATGGTTGCAGGACCGGATGGCTGCTTGCCTGTGCTGGGTTACCTCCACCCCCCACTCCCGTACCCTGTTGCAAGTCTTGTCTGTTCATTTTGTAGAGTGTACTGATTATGTGCCAATGTTGCTGAGGTGTTTTTTTTTTAACTGTTCCCAAACTGTACTCCTCACAGGAGTATAGTATGGGGGTTAAAAGGGTTGCCTTTTTTTTTTTTTTCTCCTCACCTCTCCTCATGTTATGCTGTATTTCTTCCTCAATGCTCTGTCTTCCTGTCCTGTCTACCCCCTTGTTTTATTGTATGTATGTCTGATGGATAGGTTGATGGCTAATTTCACTGGTACTTGTGACTACGTGACAATAAAGGCTACTACTACTACTACTACTAGGGCATCATGGACCTAAATTTTGAGGGGCCACCAATAGTAGTACTGGCTCACATTTTGCTATAAGCAAGATAGGACGTAACCCCCGCCCCCCAAAACAACCTAATTGTTCAAAATATAGGAGTAACATAAGAATTATTTTATTTTTAAACTGGGCAATGTTTCCCCTTAATTTAAATGGGAATGATACTTCTGCATGCTTTGCATCTTTTCTCAGATATTCGTCTTGTTTTTCTGTGGACATACTGTTATCATAAAAGTAAATTCCTTTTTTTGCAAAAACCACAACCAAATCATTAGCTCACTTATGTAGTTGTTACAATTTTGTGTTCATTTTAATTATTAATACATATTTTTTTTCTCCATAGGTAGTGATTCCCAGTCATCAGATTCAGGCAAGTATTTTTTGGATCTGTACGTGTGTGTGCGTGTGTGTGTGTGTGTGTGTGTGTGTGTGTGTGTGCACATATATGTGTGTGTGCATATATATGAAGAGTTCAGATGCAAAAGCCTCTAAATGCCATTTGAAATTTTATTCTTTAATAATGATTTTTATCAAGCTTCTATATTTAAGTTCAGTGATTTCACTTAAATGGCAATGATAATTACCTATTAATTGTTATTTAAGTGAAATTACTGAACTTAAATATACAAGTTTGATAAAAATCATCATTAAAGAAGAAAATTTCAAATGGCATTTAGAGGCTTTTGCATCTGAACTCTTCATATATATATATATATATATATATATATTTTTTTTTTTTTTTTTTTTTTTGTGTAGATGCCTGGCGCTCGCGCAGTGTGTCTGAGGGGTTGAGGAACGGAGACGCCAGCAGCTCGTCCTTGACTGCTAAAGGCTTCCGCAGCGTTAGACCCAACCTACAGGAAAAGAAATCTCCTACACCGGTACATATTTATTTAATTATAATGCAATTTTGGCTGTTAATGCATTCTTGCTTGATCATACTGCTGTTCTATATTTTTTATTGTACTTTGTGACTGTTTAGATTAATATTGGCCATGTTTTCCAAAATGACAGCTTATTTTTAGAGACATTTAGACAAGGGTTCATATCAAGTGTTTTCTTGACCCCCTTAAGCAGTCAAACTGAAATTTCTCTATTTACTCTATTTAAAATTCACTCTAATTGAATTGATTTTATATATTTGAATTGACCTTTTCTCTGTCAGGTCCCCTTGCCGCCCCCTAGGAGAGAGAGCTATCGCATGACCCCTAACCCTCCATCTTACAGTTCCCTTACATTACTGTCAGACACCTTCCTCTCTCCCCCACAGAATGATGATGTAATTTCCACAGGCTCTTACACTATCCAATCTAGAGCCACCTCATTTTCAAACTCTAAGATCACCCAAACCTACACGAGCAGCCCTGGAGCCCCCCTCGAGGAGTCCCCCTTGTCCCAACAGGCTAATGCTAACAATTTTATCACTCGGGTTCTTGGGAGCAAATTGTCCTCTTCGAAATTCACCACTGACCATCTAAATTCAGCACCTAACAAGATGAATATGATTGAAACTGACCCTATGTCTAGAACTAAACGGAAAGGTACATCCGCTCCCCCACCTCAAGACCCCTCTGCCACTTCTGAAATGCATGTAGCCTCTCTCTCCATCCAGTTAGCTTCCCGCAGTCCAGAACCCCAAGCAGAGACCCAATCAGGGCCTGAGACTGAATCCAGGACTAACGCATTGGACCCCGCTGATCCCATGCAAGCCCCTGTCGTACCACCAAGACCAGCCAGCAATTTGGTGGTATTACTGTCATTCATTTACAGTGATAATGTACACTTACTGTGCCAGTCAAAAGTTTGTAATAATTAATATTTTTGGTCCCACTTTATATTAAGTGGCTTTAAGTACTATGTACTTACATTGAAGTTACTACTTTGATACATTGGACTTATTGTGTACATACATGTTTTTACATTGTACTTATATTTTGAAAATACCTGCATGTAATTACAACTGTAATTAATTGATGTAACCCTTACACCTTAACCCACCCTGATACCTACCCATACCACCACACCTGTCCCTAACCTTACCCATATCACACCTCAATAGCAGCAAAAGGGTTTTACAATACAACCTGAACACAATAAGTACATTGTACTTATATTCCTATGTAAGTACATAGTACTTAAAGCCACTTAATATAAAATGGGACCATATTTTTAATGCTTTTGAAAGAAGACGTTTAGGTTATCCAAAGCTGCATTTATTTGATTATAAATATAGCAAAAGAGTAATGTTGTGAAATATTATTACAATTTAAAAAATAAAAACATAATAAAAGCTTAATGTCATTCATTATTCCAAACTTTTGACCAGTAGTGTATCTCTTACTCTTAAACTAACCGTATAAACAGCAACCATTCACCCTCATCTGTTGGGATAGAGTCAACAAACACAGACGGCATGATGAAATAGTGTGTGTTTCTGCTAATTACTCATTTTGTTTTATGTTTCCAGCCAACCATTTATTTCTTCCCACAGATTTGCCTGTTCTTCTTCACTCAACATGGTTAATTTGCTTCAATCACTTCTTGCTCACTGGCTTTGTTTTGTGTTCACTTTAATTTCTTATCTTCCTTCCCTTTTATTCCCACCCACCTCCATCAGCGTGAATTTTCCCCTGTAAGACGGGGCACTGGAACGCTCTCTTCTGGACCCCCCTCCCCAGACCCATCAGCTCGTCGGTCACCGTATAGCCGGGCGAGTCAGGATTCCCCCGACTTCCTGTCGGGACTATTGCCCAAAGCCCTCTCACCAACTCCCTACATCCCTCTGGAACGTTCTGGGCTAATGTCGGCCTCACCTGCTGTGTCACCGTTAACCGTGTCTGCACTGAGTCATTATTCATCATCCACGGTCGGGCTTGAGGAGCTGCAGATCTGCGACATGGACTCCTCCCCCGCGGCCACACCTACCCCTTCCCCCACTCTCAGCCACGCCTCCAATGCTCCTGACGAGCTTCCCACCGCCCCGTCATCTGCCGCAGGCACTAACGTAACTATCCCGCATGACTGGCGCACCTCACCTCAGTCTGCTGTCACGTTTGTTTGAATCTACTCGCGTTTGTATGTCCTCACTAGTCTTTCAGTCTTTCTATTGTACGTCTAACTTTGACATGCTTTATGTGTCAGCTTACAGCAGATGGCTGTCTTGGTTTTCACTCTGTTCTGTGTATTCAGTTTTTCATTGTGTGTATGTATGCTGATTCTCATTTAAAGTCAACATGTATGCGTAATGTGACGTTTTAAATTGGAACAGAATGTAAAAACTGTAGGGTGAATTTTATCCATCGGGAATTGAAAAGAGTCCATGATAGAATAAAATCAGTTATTAATATGAACAAAAACCTATTACTGTTGTGCTATTTTTTTTATATATATATAAATGCACACTACCTATCAAAAGCTTGGAGTCAAGAATATTTTTGTTGTTTTTTAAAAGAAGATTCTTATATTCTAATTTGCATTTATTTAATGTGAAATATTACTATATCAAATATTATATTTGTATTAAAGATTACAAACGTTTTCTTTGGAGTAATGTGAACTGATTAATTGTCCAGGAATGTGTATTAAGAAAGTTTAAGGTTCATATGATGACCTCTGATTCTCCATGTGACCTTTCATGACGTTTGTTTGATTAAAATAATTCTCGTCTTTATATTGTCACCGTTGACTGAAGACTTGAACATCAATGGATTATGATTGTATAATGGAGCTATATTTCAGTGTTGTTAACACTCTTTCTTACATAAATTGCCCTGGCCTGCACTCATTATCTACTAAAGGTTATTTTAACGTAGGTTTGTTGTCATGTGGTCTAACAGTTTTTCAGTTACCTCTATATTTGCTGTCCATAATTTCTCTCATGTTACTATTGAAGCACCAACATCTGACCACAACCTCTGTCTTTTTTGTAACAGCATTTTCCCTATTAATGACATCTCTCAGATACATTTGTTATACAGTATGTAATATTAAATGTAACATTTGTCTTTTGAAGTGTGTACTCTAATGCCTTGCATTTCTCATTTTAACTACTTATTGTCGCATAACTTTCACCCACTCATACTTTTTTAACTTAAAGTGATTCTATGAATGACATTACCCACAGTTCCATCTCTTATATTCCCCAGGTTCAGATGGCAGTGAATGGAAGATCTCAGTCTCAGAGGCCCTTCTCTCCACCTGTGTACCCTCCTCCACCCCCAACCCTCAGTCCAGGCCTGGGAAAGATTCAGCAGGGTCGGTGTTCAGGTGAGTGTTCCTTCGGCTAGTATCGCAGGGTAAAGTTTTGACTATTGGCATAATGTTGCTTATTTAGGCAAGAACCGTCCACTTAGACTGGAATACGATGTCTGAAGCACTTGTAAAACAAGTTTTTGTATGTGATGTAAAGAAAGCATAAAAAGCTAGACTAACTGCATCTACCTGCAAAATCTGAATTTAAAAACAGCTGTATCACAAATAACAGTCTAACAGGTACTACTTATTGTTTGAAATTTACTTTGTGGCCATTGAAAGGTACTGTATGTTGCATTTAGTATGTATATGGGTATAAGCTTTTATGTACTGCGTTTGGCTTTATGACCAACCAGCAACAGTTGCATCGCTTCACCGCCATACAGTACATTAGTGCATGCACACACTTTTTTAGTTGGATTGGTTCCAAGTATTTTTGAATTCATTTTCCCATAATGATTTAAAAAAAAGGCTTGTTAAAGTGTTAGAAGATATAAACCAAGCCAACCAGCTATGAGGTGAATCACAACATTACATACTTGTATTTGATATAAAAAGTATAAGGTACAAGACTATGTAGTAAACGGCTTTAGTGGGAAAGAACTACTATCCCACGAAGCAATGCGAATGACATATAAAACTATTAATTTTAAGTTGTTGATAATATATTAAGTTTCCATAAATATACAAATAAATATTTTAACAGCATAACTCGATTACATCATTTGTGGTTCTTCATGAGAGAGGGCATTCCCTGTAAGCGCATTTGCTATTTGATCATTATGACTCTATGATTGGTGTAATTTTCCATATGGAGTTTTTAATTTCAGAATACAATTATTGCACTCAATACACAACTCCTCTCCCGTGGTTTCATATGATAGTAAAGTGACCATTGAATGTGTACTCTAGAATGTCAGCAGAAGCAGTAAGTCACCTGGGTACTTTTTCCCTACTATTTTTCAAATACTGTATACATTTTTTTTTCCAGAATACTATACAGTATGGAAGCAGACACAACTAAACTTTTAAGCTTTCCTCAATTGTATTTTTTTCCTTTTATTGTTTGATTTCTAGTTTTGGCACTCTAAAATAATGGATTTGTAACGCACAGTTCTTGTTAGTGGATGCTGATTTTTGGCAGTTGCAATCAGTGCAATCCAGTCCTCAGGATATGATGCATTTGCATCCATTAGACCAGACCGGAGCAATCAATACCCAAACAAAGGGAAACTGAGGAGAGGAAAAGCTCTGTCTCTTTGGAGGGGATTTGCTTAGGATGGCAAATTCATACAATTGTTGTAGTAGTTTAAAGAAAGATGCTGACAAAAGTTTGCTGTAGTATTTCCTTATGCCATTGCCTTTTTGCTATACTGCAAACCAATAGATGTGAAGGAATAAATGTAGCTGTCTCATTTATGCTGTATCATACAAATTTCATAGTTCAGGGTGCTTAGTCAGAGTGAGAGCTTGTGCCATGTCAGTGTTTCTGCTCAATTAGATTAGATTTGACTTTGACTGTCAAGCTCAGACACGCCATTTAGTTTCTGTTCCCAATTTCTGTCACTGTAGTGTAGTGTTTTGGGTTTTTTTGGGGGCAGACACTGTGTGATATTTGCCATGATTTTGCAATCTGAGACACATTTTTGGGGAATATTCCAGATTTATTTTGCTGAATGCAGTCTTTATTCGCTTAGTGTGACATGCTCATGGATAACCAATTAATTGCCTTTACGGTTAATTGCCTCTGACAAAGTCCTGACAGTATCAAATTTTGAGTCCTGCACTGTGACCGTATCTATGGAAGCAATGAAGAGCCAATAGCAGCACAGCAATCAATGATGTGTGTGTGTGAGAGAGTGACAGAGAGAGAGACGTTCCATTAAAAAGGTTGATTCTAGGTTGTTGCACTGTTTTCTATTACCCAGGATCTCACTGGGGCCATGTACAATTTGAATTTGACAAGAAACAATTGTCAATGACAGAAAAAAATTGCACAGCATTTCTAAGCTGTGTCCAAACCATCTCTCTCTCTCTCTCTCTCTCTCTCTCTCTCTCTCTCTCTCTCTCTCTCTCTCTCTCTCTCTCTCTCTCTCTCTCTCTCTCTCTCTCTCTCTCTCTCTCTCTCTCTCTCTCTCTCTCTCTCTCTCTCTCTCTCTCAGAGGGTTCAGAGACGGTGAAGAGAGAGACCATTGTCTCTGGTCAGACAGTGGCCAGTAGCTCTGTGCCCATCGCTCGTTTTTCGGAGGAAGAGAAGAAGCTGTCTGTGAAAAAAGCGCCCCATTACGAAGGTATTGGACCAGTGGATGAGTCAGGCATTCCCATCGCCATCCGTACGGTGAGTGATATGCAGGCATTTTTAAGGGAACTGAGAAAAATGACAATGGTACAGTAATTCATTGGTTAATTGATTCACCTCACCTGTTCCTTCTGTTCACTTAAGCCTCTTTCAAACTGTCAGTTCAAGTCTGATTTTTGTGCATATCCGATTGTAATCATATTTACCTAGGGTGAATGGCAGAGAAATGTATGAAATGTGATTTTTACAAAGCTTTTTTGAGCTACATTCATGTGTGGTTTGAAATCCTATTCAAATTGCATTTCTGTAAATCAGTCTGACTAATCAAATTTTGCACTGTTTATGTCACTTTCTCAGGTCACGTAAAAAGTAAACATATCAGATGTTGTTACAGTATATGAAATAATCCTGAAAGTCACTATAAAACAAGGTTGTGTTGTTGAGCATTTCAAGCAGAAAATGACATAAAGATTAGAGACTAAAGACTAGAGCTGTGCATACCAGCCTCCTACGTTTCTGCATCTGCATCTGCCTCTGAAGACGTAGTAGTCCGGCTACATATTGTCATGTTGTAAATAAGACAACATCTGGATTGTAAAACCTTCCAATTGGACGTTGTTGTTTTTGCCTTATGCCTACCAACACCACAACATTGCCATAGAAACCAATGTAGATATTTCGGAAAAACTAAATACAAATCAGATCTGAACAGTTGCGATACACAGTGTGGACAGTAAATAATTTATATAAGATTCCAATCAGATACACAAATGATATTTGTCCGTTCTTGTCTATGTTATGTTGGTTGCTGTTCTCTTGAGTTTCTCTGATTTGCTTGTGCTCCTGCTTGTTTTGTTGTTTTGATTATTTTGTTAATAAATGTGACCTCTGCAAGTAGATCATTGATGTCCATAATGAACTGGAGCATGTGATATAATTAGGACTCTCTTGAGGAGTGAGTCATTGAACCATTTGTTGAACCAATTCATTTAAAACATTGATTCGTTCAAGAGAGACGTAACTGTTGCTCGGAGATGCGAGTGGTTGAATCTGTTTTGAATTTGTTTGGTACTGTTTTTGTTGGAAAAATACACAAAGTAACTGCCAATATTTTCTAAAATGTTTATTGAACTGTTTATATAATTATAGTGTTAGGTTTTTGAACCAGTTTAGAGTACATGGCGCTTTCCCTCAATAATCAACAGAATGTTCTTGTCACGGTCATGGTTGGTTAGTACAAACACTGAGATCTAAGTTATCTTTTATTATTTGTATATCACAGTGCATCTTGTTAGTAACAGAACAAAAACAAACACTCATCCTCTTTCGCATGAAACGGAAGTTGCAATAGTTTTTTCTTCCCAATTAACATATATCCGTGTGAAACGTATTCTTAAAGTCATGAGTCATGATTTTGTCCATCAGGAATTGATAGGATCATTCGATCATTGTTGTTTGCTGTTGCTATAATCGAGTAGTTTGCCCCCCTACCAGTAAACACATCATCAGAGAAGAGATGTTGCTGCAAGAGAGAGGTTGAAAGAAAGAAAGAAAGAAAGAAAGAAAGAAAGAAAGAAAGAAAGAAAGAAAGAAAGAAAGAAAGAAAGAAAGAAAGAAAGAAAGAAAGAAAGAAAGAAAGAAAGAAAGAAAGAAAGAAAGAAGGAAAGAAAGACGTGCATGGATAAATCATTTATAATAAATACTGCAACATTCCATAAAAAATAAGAATTGTCCATTTTGATTGGATGGAGAGTTACATGATATCTGTTCACTGTCACTGATCAGTTTAAAACAACGATTGGCTGTTAATGATCTGTTCTGAGGGCATTTTTCTTGATTTGTGTCCGAGTTGTTTTGACATTTGATCCTCTTATTGTGGTTAGAGGAATGCTTTTGAGCTCTCAGCAGTTCAGACTGTCTGTGAATGTGTGTATTTGTGAGCAGAGGAGAACATTCCTGGCTCTTTGCTGGCAGGTTACTATGATACTCCCTGTCTGTTCCTCTCTCTGTGCTCTGGTGATTTTGTTGGTTGTCAGGTAATGACAAATGCTGTTAGCTTTTGGTGCGCTTAACCAACAAACTGACAAGGCTGCTCGTTTCTGTGTGTATGTGTGTGCTTCTGTTTAGACTGTGGACAGACCCAAGGATTGGTACAAGACCATGTTCAAACAGATTCACATGGTTCATAAAGCAGGTGTGTATGATGGAGTGAGTGGGAGGATAATAGAACATATCCTGGAGTTTTCATTTAAACTGACAAACATGTACCGTATTTCTGCTTTTTTTACTTAACTGTGTAATTCTGTTTTAACAGACGATGACTATGCAGACACATATAATGCAACATATACTGTCATAAACAATGGTAAGATCTGAAATCTGAAACTTCCATCTTCCATCTGCTTGCTTAAAATCTTATAATCTGTAATAGTGAGATAAAAGTCTGAATCATCTGTTTGTGTTTCTGCGTTGCTTATGTGGTTTTTTAGGGTATTAAATTATACAATATAACTGTTTAGATGTAATTCTTTTACATTAAATAAACACAGTTCTTTTACATTTTCAATTAATTAAAGAATCCTAAAAAAAATTATTGCAGTTTCCACAAAATATTAAGCAGCACAACTTTTTCAATATTGATAATAAGTAATGTTTCTTAAGCAACAAAACATAATATTAAAAAGATTTCTTCAGGATCATGTGACTGGAGACTGGAATAATGGCTGCTGAAAATTCAGCTTTACCATCATAGGAATAAATTACATTTTGTGAAATAGAAAATAGGTATTTTGACTTGTACTACTGTTTTTACTGTATTATCTGGCGTTGGCAAAAGATACTTCTTTTAAAAACATAAAAAAAATCTACCCCCAAACTTTTGAATAGTAGTGTACGTTCATATATTTTATGTTTTGCTCTAATGTTGCCACTTTACATTTGTTTTGTTGATCTGTCATATTACTGTGATATTCGTACCTCTTTCTTAGACCCTCCTGTTCATGCACACCCACCCCCTCGAACACACACGTACCGGCCTCTCTCTAGAAATACCTCAGACACGCCAGGCGGTGCCACCCATCGTGAGCTCTCACAGTCACCTGTGCCCCCGCCACCCCCTCCCATGCCTTCCCTCCTTCAGCTCCGTTCTCGGGACATGGACAGAGACAGAGAGTTTTCACACGACCCGTAAGACACCCAAACTCATGCAATGAGCTCCGTTTCAAAGGTACCCGACCACTCTGATTGGTTCTTATTGTCATTATTATCTGCAGAAATGAGTGGGGTCCTCCAGATCGTAAAGTGGACACACGTAAATATCGGGCGGAACCACGGAGCATCTTTGAGTATGAGCCTGGAAAATCCTCCATCCTCGAGCAAGAAAGGCCTGTGAGTGATCATACGTATTGTTGTTCATTTAATTTAAACTGGCATAAACATCCCCACATAACATGGACTCATGGTTTCAAAGGTCTAAAGGAAATTCTGTTCTTTATTTATTTGTTTATTTTTCTATTTATATATTTTAAAATAAATAGAGCCTAATGGTTAGTTAGCATAAAATACTTCTTTCAAAACATAAAAAAATATATCACAAAGCAAAGATTGAGGAAAATCTCAATTTCAACAATCTCATTGTTTTTTTTTTTTTTTGTTTGTTTGTTTTTTCATTGTTTGTGCTTGAATTCACCTTTATAACATTAACGCTCACAGGCCTAACTGACAATGTCGAACTGCAATTTTCCAGTCAGATGATTGGACATGTGGACATGTGTTAAGTCTGGGTTTGTTTTTAAGTGTTAAGGCTGGCATTATTTGACCAAATATTGGACCATCAGCCATAAGTTTTGTTTATCAAGAGCAATGTGGTGCTATAGCAAGCTTTCTTTAGCTTTGTGTATTAGCTCATGTTGTAGATAACATATTGGTAAAGGTTTGCAATAAAAACAATCAATTGGAGCTATAGTGCTGTGCTTAACATTAAGTCATGGTATCATGTGAATGATGCAGGTTTGAATTTTGCCAGCGCATGTCCTAATTCCATTCTTCCCTTAATAATGTCTCTTAATTTCTACTGTATTTGTCAACAGCAAAAAAAGGCACAAACAAAATGGCTCAGTTGAGGATTTTCCTCAGTTGTTATATGTCTCCTTTGAGAGCAGTTGAACTTTTGTTTAGCATTGCAGATGTAAAAAGCTGGAAGGGTGTCAAACAAAGCGGCGCAGTTGTAGCCATTGGCTCGGTTCACAGGGAACAATGGGATAGAAATGTCAGGAGGTTGAATCACAGCACTGCCCTCAGCACAAACGCTGTGGATGTGGCAGTGGGAGATGTCCCAGGTGGCAAAATGAGTGGGCAGCTTTCTCAGCATGTTCTGACATAGCTCGAGGATGAGAGAAAAAGACTTGAGAGAGAGAGACGAGAGGAAAAAGCATGATGTCTCCCTCTTCTGGACAGTACTGAGAGACACAATTCCAACCGATAATGACAAATCTGTCATCATTTTCTCATCCTAATGTCTTCCAAATTACTTACTTTCATTTGTGGAATATTGACAACAAAACAATTTCGGTATCCATTGACCTCCATTGTTTTTTTGTTTGTTTTTTTGTTGGGTTTTTTGGTGTTTTTTTGTCCATACAGTGGAAGTCAAGGGGAACCAAAACTGTTTGGTTATCAACGTTCATCAAATTATATTATTTTGTGTTGCACAGTAGAAAGCAAGTCATACAGGTTTGGAATGACATTACGGTGAGTAAATGATGGCAGAATTTTCTTTTTTTGCAGTGGAATACCTTTATGTCTATACCTTTATTATTTAATATAATAGATATAATAGGTTGAATATTTTATATGTGAAAGAAAATGTGTTGATGACCCATAACATCACCCTCTTCTGTTCTTTACCCACCATGCCTTGCAGCATATTTTGGTCTTAACGCTGATTGCATCTCTCTTTTCCTCTCATTGTTTTCCTCTCTGTTTACCTCTATTCTTCCACATTGCTTCTTGCTCCAGACGTTTGATTTAAACCCAGATGACATAGATTTAGAGAACGAGCCTTGGTTTAAATTCTTTTCCGAGTTGGAGTTTGGACGGCCGGTAAGTTGAATGAGGGTGCGGCAGGTTGGCATGTTGTAGGCCTTAATTCGGCACAAATGCTGTTGTGTCATGATAAGCGTCTGTGTGTATGTGTGTGTGTGTGTGTGTTGTAGTTCAAGTTCTGACTTGTGGCTTTAAAAACACTTATTTGACCTATGAATCTGTGTTTGCACACTGAAAACAGTAAAATGGCATTTAACATCACCACAATAACATTTAGCACAATCGCATGCTAGAGTCAGCAGTTCAGACATCATACTGTATGTCTGATGTTAAACCACAAGGTGTCCCAAGACAAGTAAATAATCATGCTCTGTTCTCAAAACACTCACCGAAAGAGCAACACTATCTGTACTTGTGCTCTATTTATGGGGTACCATGTTGTTTTAAGAGGAATTTGATCCTCTTTGATTGAATCACTTTTAACTTTTAGTGTGAAACACTGTGTTTTTGCTTTGGCTCTGTTTGCCCTATCACACACATGCTCTTATTATACAGCTTACAGCTCTTATAGCTGCAGAACCTGTGCAGAAAACACTCTTGACATGTCTAACTCTTTTCAGTGACCCTAAAAATGATTTGTACACTTAATCCACATAAACATTGCACAAGCTGAACAATAGATAAACTGTACAAAATTGTAAAATGTATTCAGACTCTCAAAACCTGGCGTTATATAATATACCTGAGCATGCACTATACTAGGATCTAACCAAATTAACCCTAAAACCGTATTCTGGACAAATGTGGGCAAAATAGTTTTGATTTATTTTTTAAAAAATACTTCCCTTGATCTGAGCGGTACAAGACTTGGCTACTTTTCCTACGTTTGCCTCCTGAACACACACATTTTTTTTTTTTGACTCAATTTTACAATGTTGAGTGGGTGAAAAAAAACAACTCCTTAATCTTGTATTTGGGTCAAAAATGGGCACCCAGAAATGAATGGGAAAAACTGTAATTAAGAGCATTCTTAAATAAGCCAAAATAAAACACCAGGTGACAGCAAAGTCACTTCATCTTTAGGTTTTAGCTCTAAGAACTTATTGGAATGATATTTTAATGTAGTTTTAAAAAATAAATAATTAGCATAATTTACATAGAAAATATGGTACTTTTTGAAGTAAATAAATTCAAAAATACCCCCAAAATTAAAAAACACACCATAAATGGATAGACAAAAATTTATCGAAGACAGTGATATAACATTTATAATAAATAAAAATTAGGATCACACCTGAGTCCTCTGTGCCCACATTTATCCACAGACAGTTACAGGATGAAGGGCTATAAAGTGAATACGGTTTGAGGGCTACCTTTTTAAAAAAAGTATTTTATTAGGTATTGTCATTATTATATGCTATCTAATGCAATGAAATGCATAAACATGTGTAATGTGTGGCTCAAGTGTCCATATATTTTGGAGGCCACTGTATGTTCATAAATGAGATATTATGCACAGTTCCTCCAGCTTCTAGAACACAATTTTTGGCTTGTTTACTAGTTGAGTTTGCTACCACCTTGAGTAAACAAGCAAAATACGTGTGAAGGCTTTTGTAGTTTCATCGTTGCGTGTATTATATGTGTACACACAATCGTCACTGTGTGTAAGGTACTGTAGGTGGAGCATGTGTTGGCACTGTAGTCGATTTTCGAAAGAAAAACACTAGTATTCACCCTTTGTTTGTTTACATGTTTTGTGTGATCTCTGTTTCTCCATGTCCTAACGTTCTCACTCTCTCCACATGTGTCTTTTTCCCATGATGCACCTGCTTCTCCACCTCATCTTCACCTCTTCACCTCTGTGCTGTGCTGTTCGTTCGTTCGTTCGGGTTGCGGGGTATTCAGCCTCCTAAAAAGAGGTTGGATTATAATCCTGACTACTCCACACAAACTGTGGCACAGGTAAATCTACCTTCCTGTCCATCCATCCATCCTTCCTTTGCTTGTTTCTTTGCTCGTCCTACAATTTGCTGTTCTGCTTTTCACTTTGTCATCTATTATCTACGTATATCTATCTCATTTTCTTTCACTTGTCCTCCTGCCCCATCATTTATTTTCCAGATGGCAAATGAAAACCAGTTTGACCCTTTGTGAATTCTGATGTAAACTATACAAATAGAACAAATGTAAAATTAAATGTAAATATAATTAGTTGATAAAGGTCACTTTAATTGAGGCTATCTCAGATGAAAAGTATGAGAAAATATGCCGAAAATTGAACATTCACTTATGCATTTTGTGGTTTAATGTGTTTTTTCATAACTGTATTTATTAGAATGTCCTTTTGTATTATTTAGTTACTTGCTGTCAGGTTTACTTCCTCGTCCACCAGGATTGTTCACCCAAAAAGAAGAGATATTTAGAAAAAATGTTGGTAACCAAACAGTTTTGGTGACGTTTGACAGCCATTGTATGAACAATAGTTCTCAAAGTATCATAATTTATATTCCAAAGAAGAAAGTAAATCACAGGTTTAGACCAACATGAGGGTGAGTAAATGATGACAGAATTTTCATTTTTGGGTGAACTCTCCCCATAATTTCTTTGGAAATTTGCGGGGTCTTCTTAGAATTTCCTCTTATAAATGAATGTGTTCATTTTTTCTTTCTTTCTTTCTTTCTTTCTTTCAAAATATGTTGTTTGAGAAGAGTTACATGCTCTCAAGTGAAATGCGGCTTTGATTTGGCTTTTTATTTATTTTCCTATCTGGCTTGGATCAGCATTGGTGGAAAAAAAGCTGCAATTTTTTTTGCTTTCCTTTCTTTCCTCTGATCCAAGTCGCATGGCTAAGCCAGAATGAACAGCAGAGACTGCTGTATTGTGCTCAGATTTGTTGTAATTCACCCCAGGCTGTGTCAAAGGAAAGGAGGCGTGGCGATCTTGGATAACATAATAGACTGGGTGACCTGGTGCCACGTGCAGCCTCTCTTGATCTGTACTGCTTTTTTTGCTGGCTTTTGTTGGGCTCTGGTTTCTGTGGGGCCCTGTCCCCTTTTTTATTCTTACAGGAGGTCACAGTTCATTGTCATAGTCTTTCAAGGTGGGATAGAGAGATGTGGAACCCTTGTCAGTCTTCGTTTTCTTTGCGCATGCGGGGGGAAGGTTGTGAGTGAGGCACAGGACGGGTGCATTACACTTCTTTGTTCCCATGGATCTCACTCTTCCCTTTTATTGTCTGCTCTATTTCAGTCATCCCTCTATCTCTCGCCTTCAGAACAGCCTGATGGACCTTCAAGGTATGCTCCCCTTTCATTCATATATCTTATTTTCTCAAACAGGTTCTTTCATTTTGCAGAGAGATGCTCATTGGATATCCATATTTGTTCATCATGTTTTAAAAGCTCTGCCACTCTTTATTTGAGTCACTTAGTGTGTACAGTATATATGAGTTCAACATAAAGTAATGGTGTGTGCATTGGAGTGTTAAATATTCTTTATACCTCCTACTGCTCTCAAATCCTCTCTAGCTCAGTGACACATGCTGTTGTTCATATGGCGCATCTATAGAGTACATGATATGAGAACCGTTTTTTAGAATTGTTTAATGCATAGAAAACCCCGTAATCAGACTGTAATCGTCAATATTTGTACTAGAGTATGCTGTCCACTTGCTAACTAATTCTGGGTGGTGTTTACGTTTTTCAAAATAGCATTATTCATTTGGTTTATGCACTGTTTTTAAAGAATCATTGCAATTACACAGTTATTCACTTAATTGTGATTTTTTTTTTAGGCATAAGATTAAATTATTTCTCTGTAATCTTGTTTACATACTATGTAACAAGTTTAGTGTCATTTCTGATCTTTGAATTTTAGTTTTGCAAGTGACTACAGGAAAAGGAGAAAGTCAGAACCATCTGTCACTCAAGCCAACACAGGAAGTGAGCAGAATGCCAGTCAAGTTTCTTCCCGCCCTCTGGATTCCCATAAAGCACAGACATTGAAAAAGCCTACCATACGTTCCTCCCCCTCCTCACCATCCAGAGCCAAAGGTAATTTCCGACACTCTCACACAACTACACATGTGAATAGAAGGTGTTAGACTGATCGAATCTTGTTGATCATGCATCACTGCCTTAAGACCAAAGTATACTTTAGCAGTCTACGTTCTGCGACGGTCCGCGCACTGTCCGTGTGACATATTTATCATCATCAGGAGGGTCTGTGGATGTCTGTTCTAATTTGTGTGACTGTGCGAACAGTGCATGTACAACAGCACATATGCAAGTGACTTGAGAACTTGAAAACAAAGTACACTAGCACACGCGCCATAGTGTCTTTAGGACTCTTATGGCGCTTTTCCACTGCATAGTACGTTACGGTTCGGTTCGGTACGGCTCACTTGTGGTGCTTTTCCACTGCATGGTTCGCTTCGGGTCGCTTTAAATGGTACCTGGTCTGTTGAGGTTCCAGGCGTACCGTACCGGTACTAAAATGTGACGTGAAACACTGCAGATCACTGATTGGTCAGATAGAATCGTCACTACCAGCGTCACTACTAGCGTCATTGGATTTGTGACACGAGACACTTTTTTAGCAGTATTTTGTTTTGCTGCCATCAGCCTCATTTTAAACATATTTTTCTGTCTAGCAGTTAAAAACAACCACATACCGAGAATCAGGAACACCATCCCCTCGATAGTCTCCATTGTTCCTGTGTTGTGGGTTTGAAAATGTGGCGCTTTTAAGATGATGTCATGGCAGTAGAGGCGCGCGCAAATAACGATCAGTCCCACACACTTTGAAGGGGTACTACTGCAGTGGAAAAGCAACCGAGCTAAGCGGACCGAACCGATCCGTACCGAGTCGAGTCGTACCACGCAGTGGAAACGCGAAGCGAGCCGAACTGTTCCGCACCGTGTCGAAGCGTACTGAGCCGAACTGTTCCGTACTATGCAGTGGAAAAGCGCCAATACTGTCAATTGAGTCTACTTGGAAAGGCTCGTGCTCTCGACTGTGCGCGAGACAGAGCAGAACGCTGAAAATGAATTATACCTGTGCCTTCATGGGATATTAAATTATTGCAACATTTTCTTTTTTTTTTTTTTTGGCAGAATAGCTGTTTGATAGATTTTTTTCTATCACAATTTCTTGGTTGAATAATTTCTAAACAATTCCTATTTTTTTATTTTATTTATGTCAGAAATGTGAAAATACTCCTTTCTCTTGTTCATTAGATGGTCACTTTTGTGGTTAGATAGACCTGGTCTGTAAAATGTTTGAATCTTTGTAAAAAAATCATAATTACGTGAGACTGAACACTGTCCTCTTTCTCATATAACTATACTGACACTTTCTCACTGATACCTGTTTTCTCTCGCTTTATCAAGCTCTTTCTGCTGAGCTAACTAACCAGCTTTCTCCTCTTTGTCATGCTGCGTTGGATGTTATTTTAATTCACAGCTGGAGACGCTAGTGAGTCACTCTCCTCCTGTTTGAGCTCTCCAGGTATGGAGCATCCCTCCTCTCATCTTTCCTCAGACTCCCTCACTATCTCCACACCAACCTGGCGTGGCTCCAAGCGCTCCATCTGCTTCAAGAACGGTTGGCAGACAGGCCGACATGAAGCTGCAGAGACTTGGAGTAGCGTTGATGATGAATCTGCCATGACCCCTACATCACCACGGCTCAAATCACGCAGCTGTGATGACTTGTTGTCTGATGGACATGGTGCTAGTGATGACGGGAGAGCATCCACTTCTGTGACTACCACTCGCTCGGAAAGTGCTGGTTCGTTGCTCGATGAAGACGCTCCACAGAAGCCTCAGGTAAAAAGTCTTACCTCATCTCCAAGGGGGCGCCGACATCACCGGCGTAAGATGGCACATGATGCTCCAGGTTTCCTTCAGCTCTACAAGAAGATGCACCACATAGACCGTGAGCAACTGTTGCCGTCAGAGGTGATTCGTTCTGTACGTGCACGAATCCTCGAGTTGGAACGGCTACAGCAACAACAGAGGCACAACCTCCACGGTTGGGTGCCTTTTGGTCATGAGGTGCCGCAACACATGGTCCCAAACCGTATATCGGAATATGAACAGCTGATTCAGAAATCAAAGTCCATGCCAGACCTCGGTGACGAAAATGCCCCTTCGGGCACCACCACACCAGGGTCTTCGAGGGCCAGCAGCTGTCCCAAACGACGCTTTTCTGTTGAATCACTTTTGGAGGAGGAAGATCCTCCAGTAAGGGCTCGAAGTCCCCCTGAGGGACAGCCAAGACCGGGACCAGAAAGCAATAGCCTGGTGCCAATCCATGGGAAAAACCAGAGGCAGCATCAAGACTATTCGGACAGTGAACAGGACGCCTGTGCCTCCGAAATGAGTGACATCCACATAGAAGGGTCTTCACTGTGCAGCGAGAGCGACCTGGATCATTGCTCGCTCACGTCATCGGAGAGCTTCTATGGTTCTGGGCAACATCACCATCGTGGACACCATCACCACCGCCACCATCACATGCACCAGAGTGTGGGTCAGAGTCAAGGTTACCAACACCGCCACCTCATCAGCTCCTGTAAGGGTCGCTGTCCGGCATCCTATACACGTTTCACCACCATGCTAAAACATGAGCGACAACAGGAAAGGGCTCGGCAAGAATCCCACCCTGCATCTCCACAAGCCCAACAGTCACCCAGTGAGTCAGGCCTTTCCAAACTGGCCTTCCTGGTCAGCCCTGTGCCTTTCCGCCGGAAACGAGGCTCCCCGCCGACCCAACGACGACATTGCAGAAGTGGACGACCGAAATCCAAAACTGCGATTTATGAGGCCTTAGATGCTGCTTTGCAGGACATTTATGACCACATAAGAGCGGAGAAGGGACAAGGACCAGCAAGGATGCCAGATGATAGCATATTACGGCGGTTATTGGAAGAGTTATTACCTGACGTGCCCAAGCGTAGCTCCTCCTTGCGGGCTCAAAGAGGGTCCGGCTCACCCTCCTCGCCCCACGTCCACCAGCCTTACCTTGGAGCCCACCAATGTGCCTCCTACCAGCAGCAACATCATGCAGACGCCTCCAACAACAACCAGCATAATGCTAATGCTAATGTGCACTGCTACTCAGGTGCAGCTAGTTCTTTATCCTTAGTTTTTATCCTTCCGTATTATTATTATTGCAGAATCCAACCGAAAACATGCAAATGCTTTCACTTCTTTTCTACATAATCAGCATGATTCTTCAGCATGGCTCCTAGTGTGTGACATGAATGTATTAGGTAACTCGGTTGCCAGTGGTTTACTTTTAGTAGGAGGGACATTCTCATTCTAAAACATATTTGATTAGACAATGGTCAATATTTTGTACTTATTTAGTACATTAGCTAATAGTTAGCTTTAATGCTAACACAAAAACTCCCATTATGAATGCATGGAGAATTAAACAGTGTTGTTTTTCTTTAAGCCTGTCTCATCCCTGCAGTTCATACTGTTTGTGCAACGATACAAGTGGAAAAGAAGTATTAGCAGTTCATGGTGCAATTCATGTCTGGCTAGTATATGCATGGTGTGTTTACTGAGATTAATTTTATGATTTGATTTTGTGCCCTTCCCCATCGTTGTTTGTTGTTTTTTATTTGCTGATGTATGGAATACTGTTGTTAAGCCGTTTTTTTTTGTTTCATATTTTATGTACTTTCTATGTTAAGTTTTGGTTAAATACAGTGTTTTGTGATGACTGTAGTATTTAGGCCCTTTTTATGTCAAGCGCATGCCATTTTATGTCATACTGTGCTGTTCCAGATCATCCCTTACTTTTTGTTTGACCCCAAATGGTAAATAAATATTTGTACATTTTTAAATTGTCTCATTTTCCTTTTGACAGCAATATAATGCATGTGGTGCCACCATGGACATTAGTGTGTTTTCTTTCTGTTGACTTTTTCTCTGTGCTTCCACAGATCAGGGCTCTGATACAGGACGTCTCACACCACAAAGCAGAAGACCCACTCCAGAAAGAGAGGTAGAAATGTTGCTATGCCTCATATCTATTTTTACATGAACTACTTTTTCTTTAATTAGAACCCTGATTTGCAATCTGCAGGGAAAACATAATTGATTAAAGAGTAAATGTATGGTGATGGGAAGCAATCAGAGCAAATCCTGTATCCTTATTGTGCTATGCCATAAATCGCATCATCTTGTAACCTTTATTTTGGCCAAGGTCACAACATGGTTTAGGCGCACATATGTTGGATAGCTGATGGTCTTTTTGCTTGCCTCGTAGGTCTCCTCTAAGCAGATGACCTATCTTATATTGTCTTCTCTCCTCCATCAGAAACAGTCTGCCAGGGCTATTTATGATTTTAAAGCTCAGTCTGCCAAGTGAGTATATACAGTATCTAAAACTCTGATACTATAACATCACAGCATCTCAATGAATATGAATCTGCAAAATTGGCTGTGCCAGCTTTTTTGTGAAAATGTATTTAATTTTACTCCCGCCAATCAAAACTTGTTCTTTCTTTTGTTTTGCATTTGCCACTTTTTTGCTCTTTGGCTTCTGCATACTAAAGTAAAATTGGTCTCTGCTGCTCTGAGCTGTCAGTCATTGCGTGAAAATGTCAGCTTGCATGAAAATCCATGCTAATAAAATCATTAGAGAATTTCAAGACCCATGAATTTCAGCCTGAAATTTGCATGTCACCAAAATACATTATATAACAAAAAAGATAATACCTCATAGCTTGCAAATAACACAGTTATATATATATATATATATATATATATATATATATATATATATATATATGTATGTATGTTCTATGCACCTTCCTGTGATCACCCAGTGGTATCTGTCATTGTGCACCACAGAAATGTTTTTGTTATTTGTTGTATCAGTAAGTTGAGATTTAACTGACTGATGCAAGGTAGGTTCAGTGTCAAATATGTATGAATAAATGGGTATAAATATATTATCCTTACAATGTAAGTAATGCATATTTTGCCTGCACATGTGTGTGCATTTACAGGGAACTTTCCTTTAAGAAAGGCGATGCAGTCAACATCATTAGACAGATCGACAGTAACTGGTATGAGGGGGAAAACAGAGGTCGGATTGGGATTTTCCCCATCTCTTATGTTGAGGTCAGTATAACCTATTCAAACTAAACTAACCTGAGAGTCAAACTAAACCCTGACACACACTTAATCATATTCTCTCTTGCTTTCTATCTTTTATTCTCTCCTTCAGAAGGTGCCATCTCCAGAGCGGAGGCAGCCTGTCAGACCGCCTCCTCCAGCTCAGGTTCGAGATATGGGAGAGGCCATAGCACGATACAACTTCAATGCTGACACTAACGTAGAGCTTTCTCTTAGAAAGGCAAGTGTAAACACCTATAACACCCCCTCTGCCATCTCTCAAGCTCTAAAATACGTATACACTTACTAACTCACCCTAGCCTTAATTTTAAGCATGCATATTTGCTGTTGTAGGGGGAGCGAGTGATCCTTCTAAGGAAGGTGGATCAGAATTGGTATGAGGGAAAGATTCCTGGCTCAAACAAACAGGGCATTTTCCCTGTGTCCTATGTCGATACGGTCAAGGGCTCTCCTTCCAAGAGCCCCAGTCACCAAGGAGACACACATACACATAGGGCACAGAAGGTAAGTCTTGGACCAGTTTTGGACCATCACACCCACAAAGTCTGACCTTATTTAAGTCAATAAGTTTATAAACCAGTCTTTCTGATTTCTTTCTTCCTTGCTCAAGCACGATACAGACTCCCATTTCCAGTGGCTTGATTCTGCCACTAGGACACACCTTCAAATTGTCACTAGCGAATGGCTGTCCCTCACATTGGGTGTGTCCACCACTTCCTGTGGCAGTCCAGTGCCACCCACCCCTCCTCCCTTACCCAACCACCTACAATACAAATGCCTCCAATCCCCTGCGCCACTTGTGAAAAGGGTTACCCCACCGCAAAACCTTTCCTCCCCTTTTTTCAGCCATGGACCAATCACTTCAGAGTCCTCAAATGTTTCACATGAACTTATTTACAGAGATAAACCAACAGACATAGATGTAAAAGAAACTTTCAGTTTACCCATGAAATGGATCACAGACTGTAATCAGGAGCTGTTAAGAACTAAACGAAAGGAGCATGATGGCAAAAAGCTCTTAGAAGATATGTATGTAAAGGAGCACAGCTTGAAACAAAGCTATGACCCATCTAGGCCAATAAGCGAACATGACCCATATGGTGAGCTTACGCTGACGTTTCTAAAAAATCAACTCCATAATGAACTTCAATGCAGATTGACCAATCGATCGAAAAACATACCTATTCAAGATGTATTACCTGATATCAGTTCAAGCCACAAATCAGAAAATAAATTGGATAAACATCATGATATCTGTGAGAAAAAGGCTGAGGAGTTGCTGTCAGTCATTTTGAATGAGAAAACAGAGTTTTACAGTCCAGTAGCTGCACTAAAATGGGAGGAGCTTCCGGAGTTGTACATACAGGAAGAGGATGATGAAACAGTCAGCAGATCAGCCTTGGAGGCTGTTTCAAAAAAAGAGGTGCAACATGCAGTGTGACAGAAGCATGATAGTCTGGTTGTTTGCCGAGAGTAAAAAACTGTTAAACCTTAAAGGCCCGTACACACCGGGACGAATATCATCGCACGTTATTCGTCAGCATTTTTTTTGTTCACACCCAAGCGATTTTCGCTGACGATGAGCCGAGTGAACATGCAAATTCATTCCCTGACATTAGATGGTGCCCATTTGCCATGCAATACCACACCATAACAGTTATCTTTTATCAAGATGTGTGTAGTCCCCGTCACGTTTGTCATTTAGTTCTTTATGTTCTAACACCAACGAGAACAGCAGCTCTACATTCATCTTGCCTTGCATCTTCCTTGTCTTATTTCTTCCTGGCTGTGTAGACGGCGACGCGTACATCTTCTTCACCGCACTGCATATGTGTGCTTGGCAAGACCGTTTTGTGTTTGAGCGCCCCCAAGTTGTGTTTTACCGTCTCTTCAGAAGCTCCAAACACGTGAGCAAAAGCGCCAACTTCATTGGTCGGATAGTTTTTATCGTGGCGCATCAAACTAAAAAAAGAAACTGGGGCGTTTTTTTAAAAATTACGCTTTTACGCATGGCATTATACGCATCGGTGTGAACACTCACATTGGTGCCCTTTGTTTAGTCACGAGGCGTTAAACGTCGGCGAATAACGCTCGCGAAATTCGTCCCGGTTTGAACAGGTCTTAAGTTTAATGGTATTTTTTTTTTTTTGTCAATTCTGAAAAAAAAATATATTATTTGCATGTTCTTTGACTAAATTAAAGGGGCCATATCCAACATATTTGTAAAAAAAAAACATAATAATAATAATTCTCCGAAGTTCATATGTATAGTGTTTTTCAGTGTTTTCTAAACAGACTGGTTTTGCATCTGAACCTTATTAGCCTCTTCACACCAAGAACCATAACTATAAACTTAACTATAACCCTAACTAGCACCCACACACCCGTAGACGGACCCGTATAACTTTCTGTTATTTTATAAATGTGTGCTGTAGTTATTGTTGTCTGCCACTTTAAATGCTCAAACATTTTAAAGTCAAGGGGATTCTGATTGGCAGTCAAAATTTATATTGTTCGTCAGTTAAAAAAAATGTTATTGTATTCATTCACCTGAGCCATTAGCTGTGGTGTGGACTTCCCTTTTCTCATAGAATAAGAATGATTATATCTCTTGTTATAGGTATCATTTATGGGTTGTGGCTTTTCTGTCAGGGTCCGTTGGGAAAAGATTTATGAAGATATGTCCAGTTTCCTGTGGTATCATCAGATTAACCAATCGTGTGTTATCCTTATTACGTTCCCATTTCTGGACGTGCTAAACTTCCGGATACTGAATAGTTGTAGATAAGTAAACATTGAAGGTTATAGAAGATTTCTGAATAGAAATATAGTCTACTTTAATTCCATTTCAAAAGATCGAGGAAAGTCCTGTTTTCCATGATATGGCCCCTTTAAATAGTCTTTGTCACATTGGTCTTGTGTGAAATTTTGACAGTCAGGCTTACAGTTGTAAAAAGTAGTTCACTTCAGTAGTTTCAGCTTTGTCCTTCTCTTTGCCAGGCTGACTCCTCCTCCATCACTCCATCTCTCCCCTTCTCCTCCTCCCCCACCCCTCTGTCCTCCACTAGCTTTTCTCCTCCACAAATTGAATCATCTTCCCCTGGTGTTCACTGTTGTCCACCGTCTTTTTCCAAACCTTTTCAATGTTCTATTTCTTCACCTCTTCCTTTGGTGCCCTATTCCTCCTCTATCCTCCAAGCCTCAGTTGTTTCTTCCCCTTCAGACACTCCTCTCCCTCCCTCTCTCTCCACTCCTCTTTCTCTTCCTCTGTCTCCTCCAAACTCCCCAATCCCTCTTCCTCCTCCTTCAGCGACTCTTAACGTTAATCCTTCTTCGGGCTCTTCTATGCCTTACAATTATCAATACATTTCATCTCCTCCTCCATCTCCTCCTCCTCCCTCATTTCCGCAAGCACTTCTTTCTTCTGTTGTTCCTCAGCTATCCTCTCCTACTTCCACTCCTATTTTCTCAAATATCCCCTCCTCCCACTCTCCTTCTCCTCCCTCCTCTCCTCATTTCTCGCCAATCCCACCATCTCCTCCTTCATCTCCTATTCCATCTTTCCATCCACCCCTTTATTCTTCCTGCCAGCCTCTTCTGCCAACTATTCCAGCCTCGCCACCCTCCACTCCTTCTCCTCCTCCATCTTCTTCAGACCGCATCCCATCTCCTAAAATTCCACCTTCTCCTCCCAGTTCTCCTACACTCCTTTCCTCACATCCTCCCTCCTCTGTACCTGTAGTCTACACTCAGCCCTCACCATCCACCCCCCCATCCTCTACATCTATTTCTCCTCTCTCCCCACGTTCACAACCTCGGTCTCCTAAGATTAAGGTAAAAAGAATGTACAAAACAGTGGTTTCAGGGGTGACGTGTGGTGCATGCACAACCCGGTCTCATCCCAAGACGTCATATAACTGACGTTTTGGGACGTCTTTTGACCATACGTCAATATTCGCCTTTTTAGGGCCCCCTTAAACGTCGGTAGATGAGGTTATGGGATCCTAACTCTACCCCAGACCTAAACTTAACCCTAAACCTAACCCGTCACCTAACTGACGTTAAAGGTAAAGCGTCAGTTGTATGACGGCCCGGGATCGCCATCTACCGACGTTTAAGGGGGCCCTAAAAAGGCGGATATTGACGTACGGTCAAAAAACGTCCCAAGACGTCAGTTATATGACTTTTTGGGATGAGACTGTGTTAGCATGCACGTGTGTATTGATGTGCGACATGTAGAATTTCTTTGACATTAAACAAACATTAATAGTCATTTAATTTGTGGATATTAACCCTGGACCTTCAGAGAAAAAAAAACAAAGGTCTATGTATGTGAGCAATAGAAACATATTAATTTAATACAAATGACAAGACTTTATGATGGTCTTTTCTTCCCTATTGTAGTATATCTTATTGAAATGGCTTCTCAAACAAGAAACAATTTAGGACGGGACTTGAATTTTTCCATCAGAAACTGATTGGATTGTTGTTGTTCGCTCTTGTTGGGTTCTCATGTGAGTGGTTGTCCAGCCCATCAGAGAAGTGATGTTGTGAAAGGGAGGAGAAGTTATTTTGATTTAAAATTACGAGGGAATTAAAAATGTGCACGGATAAACCTCATATTTTTCCTAACCTGCAATAGAAATGTCGCAAGCTGCTCTTTTCACACAGTTCACTGTGACCAGGACCAAGCAAGAACATATGGACCACTTTGTGCCTTTATGCTGTTTTCTGTTGGTATTTAATATTTCACTATATCGGTTATCAACTGCTCTGCTTTTAGAGACTTATTTTTTAGTCCCTATTTTTATATATAGTTTTTACATTTATTACAAATTAAACAAATTAATTTAATCTTGTATTCTCAAATCTCAAAATGAACATCCATTTTAATGCCCAAATTCAGCATTTAAAATGATTGACTTGGTGTTTCTTTTTAAATAAAAAGTACATCATTTTAATATCAGCATTTTATCAATATTCAGCCATAACATGAATATTATCAATGTCAGACAGATTTTTAATATACCTGTCCTTATTTTTAGCTTAACAGCCAGTAGCCAGTAGCCAAGAACTTGTTATAAAACTTTATTGTCTACATCTGAAAATAACGTATGGGTTTTTTAATGAGAATGGGTCCAATCCATTCTTTCTCTATTTTTTGTTCACTTGAAATTTGATTTTAATAGTTTATTTGGTTGAATGATCAACAAACTGACTGAATAGTACTTACAATCCTCATTCATTATTTTAAATACGTGTCAAGGGTCCATATAGTGCAAGTGAGACAGGTGTGTTTTTGCATGTCTGTGTCTCTTACTTGCCCAAACTGTACTTGGACTGTACTTATCAAATCCCTAATAATTCAAGATTTTGGAATCACTACTAAAACTGAAATGGAATTAACACAGCATTATTTATAACCTCATACAGTCTTAATCTCAAAGCCAGCAATGGATTTTGTACGAGAATGCTGATCTCTGATTGGTTGCCTTGCATTTGATTCTTGCAGACAGTTTATAGGCAGGAAGTGGTGGTTGAGGGTAAACCACCACGTAGCCCCATTTCCACCAGGAGGCGCTGTTTATCTCCCTGTTTATCACCCAGTAGAGCACGAAGGGTAGGATGGAGTGTGCTGTGACACTAGCACCAGTGCAGACTGGCAAATGAACCCCGTTCTAATCTCTTTTATAGCCCTCCGGTCGCATCATGGGTGGATTTCCTCAATGTGTGTATTGTAACAACAGGTTCTGTGATGACGACTCATAGAATGACATCATGTGCCTGGATTTGGCATGATATTCTGACGCGTTAAAGTGTTACATACACACTATAGTGAGTGACACTTTCCACTCTTTTTCTCTATCTCTTAGAAAATTATGCAGGATTCCCAGAATGCAGGCGGTGAGCCGTAAGTACATTTTACAGTTGTTGACATTGTTTGTGTTTGTTTATTCACTGTCCAACCGTAAACAGCACATTTTAAAAAATTATTTTAATGTTGCTCAAGCTTCCAAGCTGTCTACAACTATGTCCCTCGTAATGAGGATGAGCTGGAGCTGAAGGAGGGGGACATTGTTGATGTCATAGAGAAATGTGACGATGGCTGGTTTGTGGGTATGTCTTTTATAAAGCTACAGCACCTCTCCAAATGGTATATCATTTCAATTAACAAGACTTGCTTGAAAGCTATTCTTTTGAACTTTATATTCATAAAATAATCACGAAAAATATGTATCAAGGATTAATATATATATATATATATATATATATATATATATATATATATATATATATATATATGAAGAGTTCAGATGCAAAAGCCTCTAAGTGCCATTTGAAATTTTCTTCTAGAATGATCATTTTTATCAAGCTTGTATATTTAAGTTCAGTAATTTCACTTAAATGGCAATTCATAGGTAATCTTCATTGTTATGTAAGTGAAATTACTGAACTTAAATATATAAGCTTGATAAAAATTATCATTTTAGAAGAAAATTTCAAATGGCACTTAGAGGCTTTTGCATCTGAACTCTTCATATATATATATATATATATATATATATATATATATATATATACTGTATATATATATATACACTGTATATATTAAGCCACTCAACTGTTTTTAGCTGCTATCACAGGAATAAATACTTTTTAAAATATATTCAAATGGACAGTTATTTTAAATTGTAATAATATTTCACAATATTACTGTTTTTACTGTTTGTTTGGTTTTGTTTTTTGTTTTTTAGGAGTTATTTTTAAAAACATCATATTGACCCCAAACTTTTGATCTGTAGTTAATATACAAAAGGGTTTTATGTGGCAGGCTGTACTTGTTTCAGGGTTCATACAAGGTGCTTAATTTAAGTACTTGAATTTGACTTTTTGAAAATTTAAGTCCTGGAAAACCCTTGAAAACAGGGCCATTTTTATGAAGAAGTACTTGAAAAGCTTGAATTATTAAAAGACAATATATGGGAATTTGTTTTTAAATTGTATTGATAAAACAATCTTATCACACAAAATTAATGCTGCAGCCCGTCTTATATAGATATAGAGGCATTTCACATGGCTATGTGCGTGATATTGCTAATTTAAATATCCAAGTGCAGATTTTTTTCTTCAAGTCAATCACATATTCCAATGGAGAAAAAAATCAGCCCTTGAAAAAAAAAGTTCTTGAAATTCTTGGAATTAGATTTTACAGTTTCTGTACGAACCATGTTATTTCAGAGCTAGTGTTATTACTAAATAAATTATCGGACAGACGATTTGAGTTGAAGATATTTTATTTTACCTGCACCGCTAGTTATAAGAAATCAGTTACTTTGGTCAGTTATACAATCATTGTACAAAAATATTTGACCAAATAATGTGATTGACCAATCAGAATCAAGAATTCCAGAGTAAATGTAGTTATGAAAACAAGTTTAATGACATGTTTTGACTATATCATGTTGGTTAAAACTGTTCATTGTACTGTATTGCTCATAATCGTCTTGTCTGTGTCTTTGTTTTCAGGTACCTCTCGTAGAACCAGTTTATTCGGAACTTTCCCAGGAAACTATGTTAAAACGCTTTAACAAAGAGGAAACAATGGCACAAATACAGCCACTCCAGTGCCTACTGTGTAGGGCCAATGAGGCACCTCACCTTTGAGAAAGTGTGTGTGCGTGTGTCTTTATGTGTGAGTGTGTTCACAAACACAACACAACATTTTTAGCTCTGCCATTTCTGCACAGACAAACCACTGAAATTAATTTCACTTTGAGCACTTTTTGTGCCATCACAGAATCTCCTCACTGTTCCTTTATCTGCTATTTTGACATTTTGTTATTTTCCAGGATGTAGTAAAGTTAGTACTGTGAGGATTCAGGTAGCATGGTATTGAGTGAGGTCAGTAGAACAGTATAAATGGTACTGAGGTGAAACCCCAGGCATCAGTGTTAAACTGAGTGTGTGTTTATCTGTGTGTAGTGTAATAAACAGTACACGGTTAATAGCAATATAGAGACCACTGGTTATAGATGATGATGTATAGTTTCTTTAAAATGAGCTACAAGTGATGTCATGGACAATTCTAAAATTGTTAATTCCCCTTGTGTGGCCAAAATAAGGAAGTGATAGAAACAGATGTGTTTTAACCATTAATTGTATAGTTAACTATGGGGTGAATTCACTTTTTCCAAGTCTTCTCAGTGGCAAAAAATGTCCCAATCATCCTGAATTCACCCCTACTTTTGCCATACAGAATTACAAATTAACACTCATGGAGAAATGTTGCTATTGTTTAAGTGGCAATCTTTCATATAGGGTAATGTTTGTATAATTATCAGTGCATTGTGGGTATTTGTATATTGCATTGACATTATAGAAAGGAAAGATGCTTTTATGGAATTTGGTAACAAATATTTGATTAATGAACATGTTTTTTAATGTTTACTTGAGAATTTTTTGAATGGACTGAGTTTTAGAATTGTAAACCAGGTGTCAGTGAACCACCTGACTTTCATACAGTAAAAAACAAACATGTAAATCATTGCTGGTTTAGTAATGAATGGCAACAATGTTACAACAAGAAGTAGAGCCTGTTATAATATTTAATTATTTTTTATTATTATTATTTTTTTGTTAACCTAAATTAACTAATTTATCTAAAAGGTAATTTCTCAATTTTCACTTTTTTTTTGAAAGTTTGATCTGTGGTATAATACTTAAATTTATGCCACATTTTATCTGCCACATTTCTCATGAGATTGACTCATATAGAGATCGTATCGTATTACGCAATAGAGAGAGTTGTTGGTCTTTGATGAATGTTGTTCATGTTTCGTTTCTGAATGATTTGTATATCAGTATTTTCTGCACGAAGTGTATCACTTGTGTTCTCATGTGAAAACATTGTGTTGCATCGGCTTTTACAAGTACGTATATTCAGTATATGGAAAAGTGTGTCAATGAATTTCACAGACAGCAGAGCAATCTTAAAGCACCTTAAACATTTATTAGTTCTATTAATTTTGTTTTCTTTAAAGTTGAAGTGCGTAAGAATGATATGCTTATCTGTTTAGCTGTCCAATGGCTGATGGGAAGGGTTTTGGAAAACTGCATGTTGTGGAAAACATTACACACTTCAGCTTTAAATATTTTAATCCCACTGTTTGCATTTTCCAGCTTCACAGCTGTGTTTGCTGATACTTTATATGTCATTTTGTATGTACTGTACATGAGTTTCACTTCCATTATAAAGCTTTCCTTTCACACATTTGGTTTCTTTCATCTGTTTTTTAATCATTTATACTTCATCCCATGAGCCAAATTTGTTCTACATACCCAACTTCTGTGGTGCAAAAAAAATGTATGCAAAAAAGAAATAAGCAAAGAACATTTTTGGGACTAATAAAGGACTTTCTTCAGCACAGGATGGATACGGATGCACACTGTAGTTAAACTGCAGTCACTGTTTGCCTTTGCTGCAGCCACAAACTACTCGCCACTACTAAAGACAGTGGATTTTTTGTAGGATATTGTTTTGCCTTTTTCTTTATAGGCATATAGTGTTTGAGTTAACACTATGGTGTTATTTGATTCGTGTGTGTGTGTGTGTATGCTTGATGAACTGCTGAGCTTAAGAGGATCTTTAACCTGCTCACTTTCAAATAAAGCTTTCTCCTTCTTTATTATTTTCATTTTATTATATTTATCTCTCTCCCTCTGTCTCTGCTCTTTTTTTCTATATCCAATAAACTTCTGCTCAGTTGTTTGGGATTCTGTTTATCCACTGTTTATCCAATAATGGTATTTTAATTTGTGGATTCATTTCAAGTATTTTGCAACCTTTTTATATTTCTCTTTTCACAGCTAAAAGTGCATACACTCCACACCTGTCCAATTTCTCATTAATGCAATTATCTAGTCAACCAATCACATGGCAGTTGCTTCAATGCATTTAGGGGTGTGGTCCTGGTCAATACAATCTCCTGAACTCCTAACTGAAAATCAGAATGGGAAAGAAAGGTGATTTAAGCAATTTTGAGCGTGGCATGGTTGTTGGTGCCAGACGGGCTGACTATTTCCAACGGATTCTCATCCCAAGGCGTCATACTGATGCTATTGCCAATGCATATACATCCACCCTTTAGCGTCAATATAACACGCTTTGGTTATTGTAGGTTTAGGTCTGGGGTAGAGTTAGGGTTAGACCACTAGGAGGCGCCTTTTGGCCCATATGTATGTACGTCTCATATTGACGCTAAAGGGTGCCATGTGTGTTGGATGTATACGCATTGGCAAAAGCATCAGTATATGACGCCTTGGGATGAAAACGGGCTGGTATTTCACACTCTACTCAGTTACTGGGATTTTCGCGTGCAACCATTTCTAGGGTTTACAAAGAATGGTGTGAAAAGGAAAAAAAAAACATCCAGTATGCAGCAGTCCTGTGGGCGAAAATGCCTTGATTCTAGAGGTCAGAGGAGAATAGGCTGACTGATTTAAGCTGATAGAAGAGCAACCACATTGGCTCCTAAGGGACTGCCTCTTGACGGCCCAGAAAGTCAATGAAGAAAATGTTTAAATATCCCAAGTGACTACCGTGGCTCAACTATATGTTTATCAAGCGACGCGAATACTTTTTGTGCGAAAAACCAAACAAAAATAACGAGATTATTCGACTATTTCTTTTCTTCCTTGTAGGCCAGAAACGAGATTTCCTTAGATTTCCACGACGCATGCACGAGAATTGCGATCTGAAGTAGTGTAAGCTGGTGTAAGCAGATCGCAATTCTCGCGCATGCGTCGAGAATTGCCTTTTGTGGAATAAATCAATCAGGCCTAATTGAAGTCCAATTCCTTTCAATGTCTTTGGGGTTACATTGTTACTCTGATGTTAAAGAGCTAGAAACATCTATTATAACAGCGTTATGTGATTTATTTGTATATATGCAAAGCTGATTGAACTAAAAGATGGAGGAATTGATAAGACGGGAGATGGAGGAAGCCCAACTGTTTGTGCCTGGAAAAAAAAAAATAAATCGGTGGAAGGAAACAGAACAGAGTTTATATTTGGATCCATATGCACTGCCTCATGTTTATTATTACTTTATCAACAAAGTAGGAGTATAAAAGCAGGCTACATGAGAGGAAAATATGGAAAAATGAGAGAAACTGAACAGGGCTCTTCTTAACTTGTGATATACAGAGAAATCCAGATTGGTAATAAAAGAATGTGCCTGTGAGACCTCACAAGTCTCCACTTCATACACTCACCAAATAAGGGCAGAAGTAGTGAGCTCTGTCTCCAGGCCCATATACAAGCACCCGGCCCACCATGAGGACCAGAGAGTCCTGCCTCTACCTCTGATGGATGCATGGCAGTGAGGTCAATGTTTCTGTGTAACTGTTATCTAAGATCAGAAGGACCACCTTATAATAACAGAAAAGAGAATATTGAACTAATGCTTAAACCTTATAGGCTGGACAAATATGGGCACACCTTGGCTATATTCGGTAATTCATTTTTGGTAATTTGTTAACAATTTTAATCTAAAACTGCTTAAATTGCCATTTTATGGATTAACTTGATTTTACCTAGTAGAATATGTTCCTGGATCAATAATTGTTGATCCTGGAAAAACATTCCAATCAAGACCCTTTATATGACCACTTAGACTTATTAAATAAAGTCCCTTTTCTTGGAAGTTACCGAGTAAGTCGCCTACTGTAGATTGAGGAAACCATTTGTATGTGTAGCAAAGTTCAGGGAAGAAGGAGGCAGGAACCGGATTTCCATAAATCCAGAAACCGGATATCCAGGAAAAAAATTACAGAACACTTTAGCGTTGTCCAGAATATTTTCTTTCATTCAATGTAAACGAATTACATAACAAGTATCCAGGCTAATGTGTAAGCTAACCAGCAAACTATCAATCAATCAATCAATTAATAATTTCAAGGTAAAAACAAATATTTGTGGCTATGTCCTAAAACAAATGCAGACCATTTTTGATAATTTCATTGTGAAGACTCTTTCCTTAAAGGGATAGTTATGAAAATGAAATGTAAAAAATGAAAATTCTGTCACGATTTACTCACCTTCAAGTTGTTCCAAACGTGTATAAATTTCTGGTAACACCTTATTTATATAGTCCACTTTAGACATTCTAACTATAAGTGAGTTTGCAACTACATATCAACTAACTGTCATTAGAGGATTTGTCACGGTATACAAATTCATTGTTCCTTCTCATCTTGTGTTTATGTTGTTGTGTAAGCGTGCATGTGTAGTGGGCGTGAATGACTGTCATTGTCTGATCAGCGACAGCTGATCGCGATCACATCACCAGCTGCAACCAGTCTCCTTTTTCTTTATATACTCACTGTTGCCTTATCCCCTTTGTCAGATCGTTGTTTGATGTCTTCCGTGTTGGCGTTTCAGTCTTGTGCTTCAGTGTTACTGGTCCATGTTCTCAGTAGATGTTGTTCTGTGTTTTTGGATTACCATCACGTTTCACTGGTTCACTTCATCACTGCACATGCCATCTGGTTCTGACAATCGAGGATCAAGTCCCTGTGCCACCCATCTTCCCTCTCCTGTCTGGAATTTTGTGCTGCACGAAATAAAAACTGAGTTTGCTTGCATTTGCTTCCTGTCTTCCATTATGACAGAACGATCTGACCAAGCAATGGAAGCAGCGAGTGTCTCATCGGCATCATTCGAGGGTTTTGTTCACCATAGTGTCCGCCGGATGGATTCCCAGGAGAGAAATTTGAATGACACGGGTCGCACTGTCCAGTCCCTGGTGGCTCAGGTGTCCGAGCCCACCCAGCAAATCCAACTCCTGTGAGCTCCCACTGCGGATTCCCGACTGTAACGAGTCGAGCGATGGGTCACGTCCACCCGCACACATGGAGAAGCCGAGGGTCCATGGATCAGTGGCAGGGACGTGGTCAGCTCTGTCTAGGATCACAAATCTATGCAGGTAGGGCGAGCTCGACTTTCCCATTGGGAGAGGGAGAGGCGGAGATTCCAGGGCCTTTGCCTCTATTGCGGAGGGGCTTACTACTGCCCGGTAACACACACTCAACTGTCAAGAGCTCTTTGAATACTTGGTCATGCCGTCCTGGCTGTCCAACTCCACAGCGGTCTTCCAGGCCCTCGTCAATTACGTGCTGCAAGACTGTCTGTTCCTTTCCTAGAGTACATCATCTCGTCTTAAAGGAGTGCGTATGGACCCTGAGAAGGTTAAGGCTGTGGTAGAGTGGCCAAGCCCAGATTCCCCTAAGGCCCTACAGAGGTTTCTGGGGTTCGTCAACTTCTACCGGTGTTTTATTCGCAACTTCAGCCAACAAGCTGCGTCTCTGACTGTCTTGCTGAATCCCTTATCCCTAGCTGAATGTAATTATGACATTGGTAACAAGGAGTTGTTGCCAGTCAAGTTAGCTTTGGAGGAATAGCATCACTGGTTAGAGGGGTCGGGGGTACCTTGTATCGTCTGGACTGATCACTAGAACCTAGAATACATCAGAATTGCCAAAAGATTGAAATCCAGGCAGGCTGGGTGGGCACTTCTTTTCGGTCGTTTTGATTTCTATCGGAATATCAAAATCGACTCCAAATCTCATATTTTTGTCCATTCCGAACGCTCGTTTACTCACGAGTGCATTTTACCTGAGACCCTATTTGTCTCAACGCTCCCATGGGGGGTTGAATCGAAGGTCAAGATTGTAGCCCCTTCGACCGGTTGCCCACTGAATCGCTTATTTGTGCCGGAGGGATTACATTCTGACGCCATTCAGTTGGGTCATTGCTCTAATATGGCTTGTTATCCAGGAGTTAACCGCACTAGCTTTTTAGTCAAGCAACGATTCTGGGGGGCACTTATGGCTCGTGACATTCACAGTTTTGTTTTGGCTTGCTTGGTTTGTTCCACTGGTAAGACTTCCAATTGACCCCCAGATGGGTTACTTCAACCACTGCCTGTCCCATTGAGACCCTGGTCCCATATCGCACAAGATTTTACTGCTCTCCCACCCTCCCAGGGTAACACAGTCATTTTGACCGTGGTGGACCGGTTCTCGAAGGCGGCTCACTTTATTCCCTTACCCAAATTTCCTTCAGCTAAGGAGACAGCCTCCTGATGGACATGGTCTCCAACAGAGGACTCCAGTTTGTGTCCAAATTTTGGCAAGAGTTTTGTAAGTTACTGGGAGCAACTGTTAGTCTGTCTTCAGGGTTTCATCCCCAGAGCAATGGCCAAATTGAGAAGGCCAACCAGGATCTGGAGAGGGTATTGCGATGTTTGGTTTCCAAGAATCCTTCCTCATGGAGCCTGAACGACTGTCCATGTTGGAGTACACCCACAACGTGTTACCAGTGTCGTCCATGAGTCTATCTCCGTTTGAGTGTAGTTTAGGTTACCAGCCACCAATTTTTCCCAGTCTGGAATCTGAGGTCGCGGTCCCCTCCGATCACATCACCAGCTGTAATCAATCTCCTCACCCTTTATATACTCACTATTGCCTTATCCCCTTTGTCAGATCATTGTTTGTCTCCCGTGTCTGCATTCCAGTCTTGTGCTCCAGTGTTCCAATTCTGTGTTCTCTGTGGATATTGCTCTGTTTTTGGATTACCATCACGTTTCACTGGTTCACTTCACCACTGCACCTCCCGTCTGGCTCTGACCTTTGAAGATCCTGCGCCACCGGTCTTCACTCTCCTGTGCTGCACCAAATACAGTAAACTGAGTTTACTTGCATTTGCTTCCTGTCTTCCAGTATTAGTAGACTGTTTGATTAATATTTGCTAACACATCATTTTGTTGGTCCCCCAACGGACCTTCTATTGACTATAAGTAACTTGGCAACTACAAGTAAATTTATTCTACTAACCCAAACCATACCTAACTATAACAGTCTACTAATACGCTAATGAGAGTTAATTGACATATAGTAGTTGAAAAGTTACTTATAGTTAGTAGAATGTCTAAATTGAAATAAAGTGTATCAAAATTTCTTTATTCTAATAAACACACAGGAAGATATTTTTAAGAATGTCGGTAACCAAACAGGGACAGTTGATGGGGACATGTTATTTTTCTTTTCCATATGGAAGTCAATGGGGCCCATCAACTGTTTGGTTACTGACATTTTTCAAAATATCTTCTTTTGTAGCAAATCAAACAGGTTTGTAACAACTTGAGGGTGAGTAAATGATGACAGAGTTTTCATTTTTGGGTGAACTCCCAATCCCACTGGGAAAAAAACAGAAGATCTTTCTGAAAACAAAAGAGTAGATATGGCTTGGTATACTTAACATTACTGAATTGTTCTGATATAGAATTGATGTGGTTATGATTAGTTGTGATAAGATAGATTAAGATGTAAATGGATATGGAGAGAGTAGCATAGAAATGTAGAAAGTAAATGATAATTTAATGGAAGGGAGCAGAGGGAGATGAGATGGAAACAGTGATGAATAGAGAGATAGAGAGGGAAGAGCATTATTCAAAAAAAGTGAGAGAGAAAGATAGAAAGAGAGAGATAGCCCTCACTCTGGAGGAGTGGTCTTCACTCTGCTCAAAAGGATTCAGAACTGAACACATCATCACTCTCGACACACACACACCTGCTGTGGATATGCCGTTCACTGTTGTGCTGGATGGACCCGCACCGTGGGGCTTTCGACTTATTGGAGGACAAGACTTCAGCCAACCATTCACCGTCGCCAAAGTGAGTGTGTGTGCATTTACCTGTGTAGGATTTTGTTTTAATTCCTTGAAAAACAAAAGGTCATTGTTTGTTATAAGAACTTTTTTAATGTTCAAAAGGGCAGCTGACTGATTTATAGAAATAGCATCTTACATCACCCATATAGATCTAGAAAATACACTTATCTGATGGCAGACTTGACTGCTGAATCACTGCTTCAGGAAGTGTGTGTTCATATGCCCTTTGAATATAATGTTTCTCATTGATCAATTCCCATATTCTATAATAATAATTACAACAAAAATAGACATAATGATAATTATTATAGTATATACATGAAAATATATATGCAATATAATATAAAACAATATAATTCAATTAGAACATTACATTTTATAATTATTATATAAATATAAATATCAAATTAAAAATGTTTAAAAATATTTGTATTTATATAGCTCAATAGGAAAAATACCCTTCAAAATGCATGAAAATAAAGTGAATATTGAATAGAGAAGGAATCGTAAAATAAAAAACACAAGGTTGAGTAAAAGAAAAGAAATGTGACTTGACTGTGTAAAACAAATTCTGGCATGACTCGAGGTTTGCCGTATAAGATGCCTTATAAAGAGAATGTTTTATGAACAATGGCTGTCCTCCTGCTCTATTTATGTTGCACTGTGTGCATGTGTGTAGCTAAAATTGTTGATGAATCATTCATGCTGGAACTAACATTTGGATCCTCACACCTGTTGTGGCAGTGGATTTATGGATTCTACATCTAAACAAATGTCAGCGAGAGTCAAAAAGAAAAATAAAGAGAGATAGGAGCACATATTTATTCAAACAGCTCTGTCCTTTCAACCCTCAAAGTTATCATGTCATTCCAAACCTGTGTGATTTTCTGTCTTCCATGGAACTCAAAAAGTGACTACTCTTATCCAAACAAGACTGGGGCTTTTGTGTTCCAAGGAAGAAAGAAAGTCATGCAGGTATGGAACAACATAGGCAATAATGATTATAGTTTAATATATGAGTGAACTCACTTTAAGGATAAGTCTGTCAAAACAGTGGCTTAAAATTCACATAATTGTCTTCACACAATGATCAACTTATTCTTCATCCTTTCCAAAAAATGAATTGTTTCAATAACTTTTGCCATGTTTAAAAGGTTACAACCTATTACATGATCAAAGATCCAGTATTGAAATACACAATGAAGTTATTGTGCTGATCTGTTTGCACAGAGGTTTTATGCTTTTGTTCTCAGTGCGGCTCTAGTTTTGGATTTCTACTTGGCTTTAATGAGATTTCACACTTGGAACATTCTCTGCTCACTCTGTGGGTTCAGCATGACACTGTTACCTAATCTTAACATTGCGCAGCCATTTTTGGTCAAACACTCTACTGTCTTCTCTCTGGGCCTTGGGAATTGTTTTTTTTCTTTCTTTACAGCTGGACTGTAACCTGGACATTATTAATCAAAGTATGTTTTACCAGCAGAGGTTGGAATGAGATCAAAATGTAAGAGTGAGATTTGTTGGCCTCCAGACGCAGGAGAGGGATGTTAAGTTTAAAACTGATTTAGCCTTTCACTAGTTTTGGAGCAAACTACTTTTGCAGCATTTTGCCATTTGTATAAACCTCACTAAATGTTGTTGTTAAGAATACTGGTATATGTTTTTGTAAAACAGGGACCAAAAAAAAAAAACTTATTTGTTTTCCTGAAAATCAGCTTGATTTAGTCTATTATGTTCTAATACATTTTCTAATTAGCATTATTTGGGGTCTGATCATCATAAAGTTGCATTTATTTAAAATGTTGCGTAATATTCAATTTTTTTTCATATTTATATAGTAATGAATGAAAAAAGAATATTCATTATTTTTATTTTTATTTTCTTTCCTTTTTTTAGATAGGATAGCTGGTTTCCATTATTGAAAGTACATCTGGGATGAGTGAATACAAGACTAAGAAACACATTGAGTTCTTGATCCTTCTTTCTGCTTGCTGATAAAGAGCTCAGGAGTCAGGACCATGCCTTGATGTATGACTGATATGATGGATGCATCTTTACATTTGGTTCTTATACCAGTATACATGCCATTCTGCTCATGTAATGCAAGTCAAAATAATGCAATGCATGTGTAGTTTAATATAATTCATCTCTAGCGCTCCAGCAGGACTGCAGAACTGCTCTGGAGACTGTTATTTCCTCCAGCATGTTTACTGTAGAGTAGTTTACACGGATACATACCAATGATGACAAGGACTTACATATAAACACACAACTACATGTGTATTTTTTGTTGAGTATCATATTTGATACATCAGGCTTCTAATGGCTCATTTAGTATGATGAATGGCGCTCATGCTGAAGGAGGGGAAAAACAAATTGAGCAAAACAATTTGGTGCAGTTGCGGCCATTTATTCGGCCAAAATTTAAGATAAAACTCTGAGAGTCTACAGTGTAAAACAATGATATCTTGATAATAGTGTAGCAGACTACTTACATAAAATGCACATAAATATCAGTTGTCACTCTGTATCTCCCAATAATATGTTTTAGGTTGATGATTTTTAAATGCTTAGTTTTAAAGGGACAATGTGTAGTAATTTCTCCCATCGCCGAGTACTTTTTGTCCTTCTCTGCTATTATAGTTTTTCAAAATGGCGGAACTACATGGAGGCCTCCGTAGACCTGTATATTATTATTATTAAGACAAAACAAATTATATTAACCATATGAACCAATGTGACAGCTTAACCATTATTAGCTTTTGTTGATGTTGTCTTCTATTATGTGTTTTCAGATATCACCAGGAAGTAAAGCTTCCAGTGTCAACCTCTCTCCTGGAGACATCATTTTAGCGATAGATGGAGTTTCTACAGACAAAATGATGCACTGTGAGGCTCAGAATCTAATCAAGAATGCCGCCTATCAGCTCACACTTACTGTTGAGAGGTCAGAGGTCAACTAAAGGTCCATGTGAATATGCTTGAGTACAACTTGACTAACTGCTGCACACTGCATCAACATTGTCCTTTACATGCAACAACACCAATACCACATGGCACAAGCTGGCCAATTAAATCGCTTGCTCAACATTTAAATAGTCTTGTTCAGTGTTTGCTTTAGGCTAGTCCTGCATAGTGCCATTAGTTCCTCTAAACCCTCCACCTCCCACAGCTCCACCTGTCTAGATCTGCACATGGGATTTGTGTGTTTATTTATGCAGCAGCAGCACCACATTCTCATAGCACAGTGTCTGTGTATATGCAGTAACCCATCCAAAAACCAAATATATTAACAATTTTTATTAACATGCCAAAACTACTTCAAGATTTATCATGATTAAAATGTATTCAGAGCAAATAAGAGAAACAAGACGTAATTAAAAATGTGATCCCATTATTGTTTTGCAGACCAGAGACTAAGCTGTGGTCACCAAATGTCACTGAAGACAACAAAACCAATCCATTTAAAATGAGTCTAGAGGCAGAAAGACAAGTATGTGTCTTCATAGCTTACATTATGATGTATATCTGCACAGTCTTATTATCTTTGATGCTTATAATTTTGGCTGACAGGAGTACAGACCAATAGGAACAGGCCATAATCGAAGGGCTTCACCCTTTGTGGCTGCAGCCAACATCGATGAATCACGTCAGGTGGTGAGCCCAACCTACAACTCCCCTATCGGCCTTTACTCTTCAGGCAACATCCAGGATGCCCTAAAAGGACAACTCAAGGGCCTCATCCATAACAAACAAGACAGGTGAATGTTACAGAATGTTATCATTATTTGAAATATAACATATACCCTGCCAACATTTTGCCAAGGTTATCTCAAAGTCATTACAAACAGTAAACATTAATAGAATTATTGTTCATTATCGTTGTCTTTAATAGTAATGTTCTCAAAATGTCAGCACAGAAAGTTTACATCTTTCATGGAATGTTTTTTTTTTTTGTATGTCAGAGAACATTCCTATAATGTTAGCAAAATTATAAAATGTAATGTTCCCTTAAGCGTTTTAAATTCCCTTTACAGTTCCCTTTACAGTTTTAAACGTTCACATTAAGAAATGACATTTTCATAACTTAATGGGAACGTTAGAAAATATTTTTGTAAGCGGGGTAGTTTGATTCTATGAAGGGGAATACGTGGAATTATGTGTGTCTAGTCCCAGGAAGCTTAGCAATATAGAGGATTCAGATGTATATCGGATGCTGAGAAATGAAGATGAGGACGAACCCCACGAACCGCGACAGTCTGGATCCTTTAAAGCCTTACAGAGCTTCATCAACAGTGAAGGTATGACACACATGTTCTGTACAAAACCTCAACAGTTTCAACAGTAATGATAAAGAGACACAAAAAAGTTAAATCCTTCTGTTAGCCATGTAAATAGTGCTATAGACCTTATGCACCAGAGAAACGTGGGCGTCGTCATCTTTAGAATATTGTCTTTGAACTTCCGTTTTTGTAGAGTTACTTATTGTAGAGTTAACAAAAGGTATCATGAGCATTGTAATGTTAAGCATTGTAAAGCAGATGTCTTAACAAATGTCGACCGGGAATTTTTTACGAGCAGTTAATTCATTCCTATGCAAGATCGCTGTGAAAATACAGACCGGAAGTCAAAAGACAACGAGCGCAACGCTGAAAAGGAGCGGAGCTACATGTTGCTCGCGTTTCTCTGAAAAATACAAGATTTCTGACATATTTTAGATAAAAGGCATAATTGCCAATTATGTTTGTGTTTAGTTACATGCTGTTCTGCATAGATGCAATGTAGCCTACTGTACATGTCAGTGGCGGATTTAGGCATTTTTAGGATTTAGGCAGATTTAGGGTCGGCATGAGGTGCTCGCACACAAAAGCCAAACAAACAAAAAACAGAATGTGCAAACCGACTAACGGTCACTGGAAGCAGTATCGGCCAATAACGATCACTGAAATACTGTATTAGGCTTCAAACAGACCCACAGCTATTCTTAACAACAATGTACTCTAAATTACATATTAAAATTAAGAGATGAGAAAGTAGCATGAGTAGACAACTTTATTTATTGGCAAACAACATGCAACAAATATAGTATACCTGTGAAATAAATGATTTAAAACAAGAAAGAAAGAACCTAAGAAAGAGTCTATCAACAACAAGATATCAAATAAAACAAAACTGTATAGTTGTCACTGTATAAATTAGAAATAGATTATTATAGTACATTTAAATATACTAAAGAGCAGTGGGTAATTTTCTCTTTGTCTTTTGTTGTTTGTACATCAATGACACAGACAGCAGCAGGAATATTAAACTGCTGTCACTTTAAGACCAAATGCACGGATCCAATATACTGAAACACATTCAACTTCTGTAAACAAATAATAGAATCAATTGCAACCTGTGGGGTATATAACAGTACTTTGGAAATCGAGATTGTATTTATTTAAAGGAATAGTTCGCTTTAAAAAAAAAAAAAAAAAAAACTTTTGCTGATAATTTACTCACCCCCATGTCATCCAAGATGTCCACATCTTTATTTCTTCAGTTTTTGATGAAAATATTCCAAGGATTTTCTCCATATAATGGACTTCAATGGTAAACAAACGGTTCAAGGTCCAAATGAGAGTTTCAGTGCAGCTTCAAAGGGCTTTAAACGACACCAGAAAATGAACAAGGGTCTTGGACCCTTCAAGTAATGACTCGAAAAAAGATTTGTTCATTTTGATGAACAAGTTTGAACAGGAGAATCACGAACGCACATCACAGAACAGAGAAAGGCGAGCATTTGTGCTTATAAAACTTAAACTTTTTTATTTATTTTTGAAATGACCGATTGTTTCGCTAGATGAGACCCTTATTCATCGTCTGGTGTTGTTTAAAGCCCTTTGAAGCTGCACTGAATCTCTCATTTGGACCTTGAACTGTTTGGTTCCCATTGAAGTCCATTATATGGAGACAAATCCTGGAATGTTATCATCAAAAACCTTAATTTCTTTTTCGACTGAAGAAAGAAAGACATGGACATCTTGGATGACATGGGAGTGAGTAAATTATCAGCAAAAGTTTTTTTTTTTAAAAAAAAGTGAACTACTCCTTTAACAAACATGGTATACTGGAATTCAGATCTTTTTGATCTTTGACAGGTCCATTAGTGACAAGGAAAGTCTGTGCCCCCACGACCAGGCCATCTGCTCCTGCGGGGAACTTGCACAAGTTACCAATGTGTGATAAGTGTGGGAACGGCATAGTGTAAGTCAGTTCACGGGAGCCCTTTGCATTGTCAAAACACTTATTTAAATACAACATTCTTGGTAAGACGAGCCACCAAGAATCTTTGTTTCTTTTATAGACCATTTTGCAAGATGTAAACAACACTGGTCCAGAAACACTTCCTGTTTCAGTTTGTAACTGTTTTCTTTCACATGTAAAGAACTATTTCACATGTAAAGAAAACATCTTAAAGATGTTTGTTTAACTTTTTGATTCAGTTTTATATGTTCTGTTGGTTGTATTTGATCCCAGCTTTTATGTGTTAAAAAAACGGAAACAGGAAGTGCTTCTGGACCAGTGTTGTTTACATCTTGCAAAATGGTCTATAGATGCACCAAAAATTCAGTATGATATTAAAATTCATGTTATGGCTGATTATAATATGTATCATAAATGTACACTACCATTCAAAAGTTTGGGATCAGGAATATTTTGGTTTCTGAAAGAAGTTGATACTTTTGACAGTTAATAACAATAGGGAAATTTGTTAAAAAAAATATTCACCTTTAAAATAAATGCTGTTCTTTTGAATGTCATTGAAGAATCCTGAGAAAAAAAATAGTAATATTAAAATATAAAGCAGCACAACTGTTTTCAACATTAATAAGACATGTTTCTTGAGCATCAAATCATGTGACACTGAAGACAGGAGTAATCTACTGAAAACTCAGCTTCGCAATCACAGGAAAACATGACATTTTAAAATATGTTAAAATAGAAACCAGTTATTTTCAATTCTAATATTATTTCACAATATTAATTTTTACTCTATTTTTGATCAATCTTTTTTAATAAACAAAAAACATAATGATTCCAAACTTGTGAAGGATCAGCTATACGCTAAGAGGAAGATGCATGAGATGCATTTCATGAATCCAGTTTAACATTCTTGTCTCTCTCTCTGATTGGCTCTGTTTTCTCAGTGGGACGGTTGTGAAGGTTCAGGATAAGCTTCGTCACCCGGACTGTTTTGTGTGTACAGAATGTGAGGAAAACCTGAAGCAGAAAGGATACTACTTCATAGATGATGAGCTGTTCTGTGAAACCCACGCTCATGCCCGGGCAAAACCTCCTGAGAGTCCAGACCTCTGACATTCTCACTAACTCTAAGTCTAGGCACTAAGTCAACTACTCAGTGCATGCACATCTTGTTTTAACCACAGACACAAACATTTTGGCACAAATCATGCACAATCATGATGGACACAGGATTATGGATAGTGCATTGTTGTGTCATGTGCTGAGAGTATTTTGCACCTTCAAGCAAGTTTTTGAATAAAGCATATTGTTTTTTGAGAATCATATACTTCTATTTTGTTTAAAGCAGGACAGGGGAGAGCTTTCCTGACACATGAAACAATATCCATCAAGACTCAACAACTCACAACAAGTGGTTTTGTGTATTTACATCATTGCCATGTTTAATTTGCTTGCAGGTCACAAATGAGTGATGAATAGAGTAGAAAGCATTTCTTAATTTTGATTCTGAATCTTTTGTTCGACTTCTGACATAAAGAGAAGTCTGCTTTGGACTTTTACTGTCACCTAGAGTAATGTACACAAGTGAAATTTACCTTGTTGTTATTGTGTTTTCTGCATGCATCACATTTAATGTCTTTTCATCTCAAGCATGCCCTTTACTGACACTGTTGTCTCGTAAAGGTGACTTTTGATTCAACTTTATTAGTGGCAAAATTGTTCAGTTTGGTGGAAATAAAACAACTGATATAAATAAAATTGTATTAAAAGTCTGGTTCTGGCACAAGGGTAAGACAATGAAATCTACACATAGAAGTCAATCGAAAAATAGCAAAAATAAATGTTATGGTAAAATCGTTACAAAATGTGACATTCAAATATAAAGCTATTTTTTTTAAGGAAGTAAAAATATTTATATACTAGCCTACAGATTTTTATTTTATTCTATATCGTCAGATAAATTGGCTAATGTTTGGAAGCTTGTTACAGAGTAAAACAATGTGTGTCGTTTTTTGCTGCATTTTTTTTTTTCAACGAAATTAATGTAGGCCTACTATATTTTAGCTCAGTGATGTTTTTATTTAAAATTTTCAGGGGATTTTATGCTACTAAATTATATTTACTCTGTATTTCTAATCCATTTATTCACTTTTTGAGCATTGACCTGAAAATTGTATTTTCAACTTAAACTCTAAATCTTAAATGCTTTAGAGCACAGACTTAAATTTGATCTCTTTTCAAAAAGATGACACTTGGCAGACTATTGCTGAAGTGTAAAAAGTTTTAAAATGTGAACTTAAAGTTACAGAATTTTATGTTTATTGTTATGAAGAAATGCTATTTTAATTTTTTATACGAAATATATATTTTCAAAAACATGTTTTACTCTAAAACTGTAAGAAACCAAAACCCATAAATCCTAACAAGTTTGAGCCTGCATCAAAAGATTTGTTTCATTATCAGTGTTGTTTGGCCGCAGTACCAAATGTTTATGTGTTTGTGTTCACAGCAAGGGCCAAAACCTTTACCAACTTTCGTACCATTCCGATGAAGAAAAAAATTCTAAAAACTTTATAACTGCGACTTTTTAATATCACAATTTTGACTTTCTCCAAGTCACAAAATACAATTCGTGAGATAATCGCGACGAATTAGGCTACCTTTAACGTTTTATTGTGGCGGAAAGAACGAGGTGACGTATAGTGACGCGAACCAACCGCACTAGTAAATGTTATGGTTACCATCTTGGATACCATACACTAAAGAGTATAGAAAATAAAGTATATATATATATATATTTTTTGTTACCAGATACACTCATAAAACTACTGTAAATGTGAGTGAGTCGAAGCAGAAGAAGAAGTATAAGCAAATTATCAGTCATTCCCTTCGCGGTATGTAACCTACTTTTTCATCCACAAACAGACATAGAGAATGTCCTAAAATGGTTCCATGTAACGTTAGCTTATGCTATTGTATCGGCTAATTAAATGATGCGAAATAGTGCCTGTTAATTAATATTTACTCTTGCCCTGTTAATTTTAAAGAAAAATTTCCCGTTTTTGGTATATGATATTAAAATATTTAAAGACGTTTGACCTATTGTAATTAAAATATAGTCTATATTTGATCTTGTTTCAATGTAAAAATAAAAAGTATATAAATATTTTTACTTTTCAGGAATCACACATAGCATCAGTGAACAGGTTAAAGGAGATTAAGCGAAAAGTAGTCCAGATAAAGGAGAAGTGCAGATTTTCTGACAGTAGTTTCCCATTTGGGTTAAATTCTGACCCTGTCATGCAAGCAGTTGAAGGAGGAGACTGTTCCAATGTTAAAGACAGCAAGTTCAAAGCAACAGACCATAAAGGCACTGTGCAGACACTAAGCAATGCAATGGTGCCTCTTGAGGAGGACAACTTACGGAGTATGAAAGAAAATAAAGCCATGAAACCTGAATCAGGCTGTAATGACTACAGTCTTGCAGCTAAGCCAACTCGTCAATGTCCATTTGAGGTTTATTTAAAAAAGTGCACACAATTAGAGAAGGAAAACCTAGAGGTTAAGAAGAAGCTTAAAAAGACAGAGAAGTATTCCAAGGAATGCAAAACAGAACTGCAGAGATTTGTGAATAGGTTTAAAGAGTTTAAGACCATAAACAAAGACCTGGATTCGAAGAACACGCACATTCTCATTAAAAACCAGCAAATGAGGCAAAGAATTACAGAGGTCTTAAAGCAGACCAAACCTCAAGATCTAGTAAGAGTCACCAAATGTTGTGAACACCACTGTCAGGAGAAGCAGCAACTAAGAGAAACCATTTTACTCCAAGAGGGGCTGAAGAACTTGGCAGAACCAGTTGAAACTCAAAGAATGAATCAGGATTCGGAAATCAAGATTGTAACTCAGCTACAACAGGAAAACCAAGCTCTAAGAGAGAGGCTGGACCACAACAGTCAGGTCATAAAAGATGCTGAGAGTAGAGCCGAGAGAGTTCAGCAGGAGCTGGGTGAGCTTGAGTGTTGTCTGCTCACTGTACAGACTGAGAGAAATCTACTCAGACATGAAGTGAAGAGGCTCCATAAGGATTACATCAGCCTTACTAACAGCATCTCACTGCAGCTCAAAGGAAACAACAAAGCTGCTGGTCTCAGGGGGGTTTCAGGGAAACCCACAAAGAGCAATGCTTTACAGTCACCAGGACAACATCTACCAGGATCCTGTGGGTATATGAAAAGACATTTTAACATTTGACCCTTAAAACGTACTATAGTATCGTATTTTTAACTTCCTTATTTTTTTTAGAATGTATTATTAGATAGATACTAGTACTTAATTATTAGATACTCACCTAGTAGGCTATGTATGTATAACATATTTGTTTATTAGATACCAGTTCATTTATTATAGGTACTTTAAATATTCATTAGATACTCATACCCATTAATTACATATTCATTAGTTAAGACTAATTGGAACGTGTCATAAAAAATGTCATATATTAACATTTTGATGATGATCATTATTTAACTTAAGTTAAGTTAACTTTATTTTGTACTGTTTTCTTACTGATAGGAGGAGACTCAACATAACAGATAAAGGTGGAATTTGAAGACAACTAGGAGAATGAGGAAATAGAAAAGTGTTTATGTACTTAATATGTATTTATATTTCCATATTTTTGTTATTTTAAATTGTATTACATTCTTAATATTATTAATTCTAAAATAAATCTCTACTGGTAAAAAAAGTTTATTAACACTAATCTGTCATTAATGCTGTTTGTTCATTGGTATGTTTTTCCCTCTCATGTCCCCCCAAAATTCTGTCTCTCTTTACTGTTAAAGTCTGACAAAATAAAAATCTTATTGAAAATAGAAAACATTACTTTTTTTTACATACAATTCACAAATACGATCACTTGGAAAAACAGCAAAGTAGGATTGTTTACACATTGAGCAGTCACTTTCAGGTCAGCAGGGGGCAGTAAAAGACTTTTCCCTGTGATACGACTTCACGCACACGAGGAAGCTGTGGACATGTTTTTATGATACGTCATCAAACATGTCAGCCTGCTGGTGACAGCCACTGAATTTGATCCTTGATCGAGGGAATTAAAATGGTAATATGCTTCTCTTTTTTTAAAACAAATATGTATTCCGTGAAACGGTATTATTTTGCACATTATGGTAATATAATATGAGCTAGCCTTTTGTCAACATATGCTTCAGAGAGACGTACACACATAATAGCAAGATGAACTCTAATATTTATTTTAATTCCCTAAGGTTTTTTCAGAGGAGTGCGCCATTATTTTTCGTTTGAAAGGAATCTTGGAGTTTGCTTGCCAGCTTGACAATCCAAATGGTACGTCTCAAATTAGAAAAGGATTCGATACAACTTTTAACTGTCTTTTGGGCATTACATCTAAAACATGCTGAAAATGAAAAAAAAAGTGCTTTGTGTATTCTTTTTTTAGCAGGTTCACAAAGTCAAAGCACCATATCAAAAGTTTTTCAGGGCCTCCGATCCAAAGTATCATCAAAAAATATTGTTTTCACTGTCTGTAACAGTCCAATATTAATATGGCCCAACATTGGTTTCCGGTCGAGCATGGAAAGCTTGACAGAAGCATCAGCATGTGGAGACATTCTGCAGTATATAGAGTAAGTGATCCATATTGGTATCTGCATACACTCTCTAGTTTTTCTTAAAACTAAGACACTTTCTTGTTGCTTTTCACAGATCAGATGATGGTGGGAGCAAGAAGACATTAAAAAAGAAAGATAAGAAAAGATCTGTACATGTGAGAAAGCCTCTCTTTAGATCAGCGCCCATATTCATAAAGAATCTTAGAATCTTAAACAAAGAGTGACAAAATTCTTAGAAAGTGGGTGTTTACTCTTAAAATTAAAGAAAAAAATCCTACTATAGAAAAAAGTCATTCTGAAAGTACCTTAAACTTAAAATAGGTCTTAAGGTCAAAGTTGTTAGGAGTACGGACGAGGACTTTTAAGAGGCTTAAGAGTTTCTTAATCTTTAGCAGAGGAGAAAATGGCAGAAAGTCAAAGAGGGAGAAAAAATGTGTTGCAGACAATGAATGACTGTGAGTTATTAAGACGCTATAGACAGATTTTCCTTTAAAGATGGTCTTGTGTTGTTCATCCACTAACTGGGCTAACAGTAAACACTGTTCCTCTGTCCAGTTGGGCTTTCTCGCCTTGATTCCATGTTTGTTACATTAAAAACAACATTCAAACCACCACTTAAATAGACATGCCAGCAATCAGTGTAATGGCAAAGAATGGAACCATTTTTATCATTCTTAGCCAATCAAGTACCTTTTAGGAAATTAACAGCATGGTAAATAAAAAAAGGAGTTATATACATTATATATAATAATGTGTGTGTGTGTGTGTGTGATAAAATTACACATGTCATTTCAAAGTGAAGGCTTAGAATAGACCCTATACTTCAAATCAGTCTTTTTTTTTCCGACTATTCAATTGAGTGCAGAGTTTTGTTTTGTTTTTCCTGGTTCAGTTAAGACACGCCTCATAATCAAAGCCCTATGGAGCGGTATGACGAAGTCAGGCTAGAGTTTTCTGAGAGGATTCTTAGAATCTTTATGAATACTGACCTTGGGGTTTGCCCTGGATCCATAAATATGATCTTCCCTTTTAAAAGAGGAACCCTTTTTTTATGTTTCCCTTTTTTTTTCTTAACAATTAGGTAACGCTTCCTTTTACAGTCCAGTTACCCATGTAAATACTATGTACTTCTTTTAGTAACTACAATTACTGGGTAATAACTAGTACTAACCCTGAACCTACCCCTAAACCACCCCTAAACCTACACCTGTTCCATGTACTTACCTTATATTAGCCAGTACTTTCTAGCCAAGTACACTGTAAGTACACTATAAGAACTGTACTGTAAAAGGAAGTGTTATGTATATATATGAAATGGATTGTAACAAAGTAACTGTTTAATCTTATGATTACAGACTAATCTTTGGAAAACTAAACTATTTGAAGTGTGGTGACTGTTAACAGTCACTCTAACAGAAACTCTCTTTTTTTAGACTGTAGTGAATCTGAAGCTGTTGTTTGAGGTCACAGACCCTGCTGGGAATGAAGCTCCTAGTCTCATCCGAGTGGACACACAGCAGCACTATGTGAAGATGCCATTGCCTTTAGACTGTGTTCTGTCTGTGACCACTGATGAAAGCCTGGCATCGTGAGTGCATTTCTTTTTTTTCTTTTTTTTGTCTCAAGTTGACTTGTCTTGTCTCAAGGAAGTGGTGTTTTTATTGCAGTGATTTTAATGCTAATATCTGGATGTGAAGTTCAGCAGTGTGTGTGTGTGTGTGTGTGTGTGTGTGTGTGTGTGTGTGTGTGTGTGTGTGTGTGTGTGTGTGTGTGTGTGTGTGTGTGTGTGTGTGTGTGTGATTGTCCAGTGTGTGTACAAGGCTGGTGGAGACATTAAGGAAGCAGTTAGCAGAAATGGAAGAGGCTGTGCAGCGGTACAGGAAGGGCTCTTCGTTTGTGGTGCCACAGCCATTTCACTTTCAACTTCCTGCACCAGCTGGACTCACCACTGTAATCTACCCAGCAGGAGTGCCCGACAGCCAGTTACAGGCGATCAGAGAGGCAAGACAAGTACAGATACACTACCATAGTTTTTTTTTTTTTTTTTTTGAAGAAAAAGAAGAAGAAAATTAATAGTTGTTCAGCAAGGATGCATTCAATTGACAAAGTTTTACTGATTGTCATAAAAGATTTCTATTTAAATCTATTTTCTATTTAAATCAAATTATTTCTGTTCTTTTGAACTTTTCATTCAGCAAATAATCCTGAAAACATTTTATCTCCGTTTCCACAAAAATATAAAGCTGCACAATTGTTTTTATCATTGATGATATACCGGTAATAATAAATGTTTCTTGAGCATCGAATCAGAATATTTTTATGGTTTCTGAAGGATCATTATGACACTGAAGAGTGAATGTCTATTAAGACTAATAGCTGTTGATTCAGCTTTGCAATCAGTAATAAATTACATTTTAATATACATTAAATTGTTATTTTAAATTGTGAAATATGATTACATTGTTACTGTTTTTACTATGTATTTGGTCAAATAAATCTTATGATGCTTTGGTGAGCATAAGATACTTTTTTTCAAAAACATTTTTAAAAAATCATACTGACCCCAGCACAATATCTCTATCCTAACCATTGTTATTTATTAGAAATCCACATAGTATTTTCTTTATTAAGTCAGCTTCTTTTTTTTATATGCAGGATCTGCATAGAAAGTTTGAGTTGCCAAGTGACAGGCCATACCTGAGACGTGCCAATGCCTTTCATTTCCCTGATGCAGCCTATAAAGACGGTTATCTCCGCAATCCCCACATACACCTGAACCCACCCAACATTGAGGATGCTAAGGTGAGACTGTGCTTTAAATGAATAGTTCATGGAAATGTCATTCCAAACTTGTTATCCAGGTTTTTTTTGTTTTTTGTTTTTAACCTGTGGAACACAAAATAATTTTTTTAAACTTTTCATACTGCTCTTTTCCCAAATAGGACAAAAATTCACCAGTGTGCAACTTAGAAAAAAAAAAAAAAGTTTTTATTTTTAAATAAAGTCATATAAGCATTTTTTGTGAGAAACAGTTGTCAATTTAAGCTTTTAATCACTGATTCTTCCCTCTGCACTTATTTTAAAAGGGCACTTTTGGTTCGTTAACTTTAAAAATGGAAACTTTAGACATTTCAGATTGATGTGAAGTGATTGATGCCAATTCACAATTAAAAAAATATCGCATTATCTCTATGAATAGGTACTTATTTTGACAAAGTAATTTGCAATCGCTAAAAACCATGTTCTATGTAGAATGAATGTGTTTAGTATGAATTACTCGCCATATCACTGTCACATGACCTACCAGCGTCAGTTGCGTTACTTCACTGCCATTCACAAATCCTCTCAAAAAATCCTCATGGGATAATAAAGTATCCAGTGTATGCTAGTATGCACACTTCAAAATCTTGCCGGAATTACTAGGCCCTCCGGATACTTTTTGCCTAGTCTTTCATTAGTACAAGGACTTGCTTTTCTTGTGAGTAGTGACTTACTAAGTAGGTAAATAATGGTAAGATTTTAATTTGTGCATGAACTATCCCCATGAAAGGGGGTTGAGAATGTTCATGAGCACGTCAAATCTCTTGATACCAATACTAGTCTTTTTCTTCTCCATCTCTCTAGCTGTATTTGGTACAGGGTGTGTACAGTTATCATCACTACATGCAGGATCGTGTGGATGATAATGGCTGGGGATGTGCATATCGTTCCCTTCAGACTATCTGCTCCTGGTTCCAGCAGCAAGGATATGTGGAGACAGCTGTTCCCACACACACGCAGATCCAGCAAGTAAACAAAACTGTCACTGTATATGGCAACTCTGGCCCTCGAGATTGAATTTCCTGCAGTTTATCTTCAACCTTGATTAATGTGTTTGACTTGTGTTTGAGCAAAACTCTGCAGGACCTCGAGGGCAAGAGTTGACAACCCCTGTTATATGGGATGTTTTTAAAGTTATGCTGTCTTGTTATATGGATTAAAAAGGAACTGCCTTTATAATCTATACATTTGTTGGTTTGTCAGGCTCTTGTAGATGTTGGGGATAAAGAGCCACGTTTTGTGGGTTCACGCCAGTGGATCGGCTCCATTGAAGTTCAGGTTGTCCTTAACCAACTGCTGGGGGTCACCTCAAAGATCTTGTTTGTGAGGTAGAGAGAGGTTTTGTATGTTTACTTTATTATTTAGGGTGATTATGCATTTGTCCTTTATAATGGGCAGATTATGTTGGGGTGGATTCTGAAAAATTTGATAGAATTGAGCTATGCAATTTGGTTAAAAGCTATATAATAATATACAGTTGGTCAATCTGACCAAACCAACACTAATCTAGCCCCTTGTTTCACAGACGAAGATTAAGCCTAGTCCCAGACAAAAATGTATGTTGAGTTGTTTTTAATTAAAAGCAACTTGCACTGACATATCTTAAAATGTCGCTGCCATTGTTTTGAATCAAGATACATACCAGTAATATTTTCTTTTCTAAGGTACTGTATGTTTATACAAGCTTCTTAAATGTCCTAACTGAACTAAAGCCTAATACTGGCTTAATCTAAGCCCTGTCTTTGAAACCAGAACTTCAAAGGATCACGTTACCAGATTTTTAAAATCTTTAAAAGGCAACAAAAACTAATGCAGAAACATAAAAAAAGACGACAATATGTGTCCTGCAACTAGTTGGAATCATAGTATAAAGTTAATAAATTTGAGTCTTCTTTGCCCATCGTATAATATGTGATTTCCTGTGAAAGAATCAAGGCAAAAGTCGTGTGATGTATTCCAGTCTTAAGCTGAACTAAAGCTGATGCTAGATTAACAATGAAAGTTTCTGTATGGCTTGATTTTAAAAATGATTGTCTTTCTGTTAAAGTCAGGGATCTGAGTTGGCAACCAAGGGAAGAGAGCTGGCTAACCACTTCCAGACTGAAGGAACTCCTGTCATGATTGGTGAGTTAAAATGATCTTCAGCGCCTTTCATCAACTTGTGATTTAATAGCAGCAAGGTTTTTCCTCCCCAAAAAAATATTATCATAATCAACTTCTGATCTGGTATACTTTTCAAAAGTGATAATAAGAAATGTTTCCTGAGCACCAACTCCACATTAGAATGATTTCTAAAGGATCATGTGAGTAATGGCTTGCAGAAAATTCAACTTTGCCTTTACATAAAAAAAAAAAAAACCTTTTAGATACTACTTTCAAAAATGTGAAGAAATAAAACATTGTTTCTTTTTTTATGCAATTTACGGTTATGCTTTTTTACTTTTTTAGATGTTAAAGCTTGGTAATTCTTTCTCACCAGGTGGGGGGGTACTTGCACACACCATTTTAGGAGTAGCGTGGAGTGAGAACTCTGGTCAAATCCGCTTTCTTATCCTGGACCCTCACTATACTGGTGAAGAGGACTTGCAAACCATCACTGACAAGGTACATTTGACAACATCACATCTGTCTGGCCTGTCCTAATACATACAAAATTGGTTCTTTCTTCCATATCCAGACACAGATGGGATTTAAAGTGTAACGTGACTTACTTGTTTAGGTATTGGCAACTGTTTAAATGGTGTCTGATGAAACTGACAGATTTAGCTGCACCTAGAGTTTCCCCAAATATCCTATTTAAGTTGGCTCCCATGTTACTGTATTATGAGTTATATCATTTGTCAATCGATAGCTCAGTGTTTTTTTGTTTTTTAAAGTAGGTCATTTGTTAATGTGTGCATTTCCTTTAGGGCTGGTGTGGCTGGAAGGGGCCCGAGTTCTGGGATCAAAATGCCTATTATAACCTCTGCCTTCCCCAGAGACCAAAGACCATTTGAGTCACGTACATGACACTTATTCCTTCATGCTCCTCCTGCGAGTCCATGGATTCACAGGAAGTCTCATTGTTTTTAATGAGTACAAAGCAGTATGTCACAGTAAAAAGTGATTTATCATTTATTACCCATTGTCCTCCTCACAATGTTCTAAACGTTAATGCCTTTTTTAACATCCGTTTTCAGTCACGCTAAAGATCACGTCTATACAGTCTCATGATTTTACAATGAGGTTGTAAATGGGTGATCGTTTCTTTTTTAATACAATCACTAGGACACGTTTCTCAGTTCTTACAGTGGGTCTTTTTGTCAAAAGTCTTAACACAGTTTTCTTTACCAACTTCCAGTTTGGCACAGCAGTTACTTTCACATCCAAAATGCACTAATACCAAAACACTTCATATATGCCTCAAATCAACTCAGTCTTCCATGACACAGGCAAAGGTTTCACCCAACAAACACACTTCGTCACAGTAGCTTTATAGTTTTTAAAAAAAACAAACAAAAAAAAACATTCCTTTACAGAACAATAATTATATCTCTACTGTTTAGAATTCATTGCATTTCATGGTACATGTTTTCATTTCAGTACAAAATTATTTCCCCCTTTTCTATAAATAGTAACAAAGTCTAACACCTTTGTAGATTTTCAGCTACAATAGACCTAATTGTTTTGTTATATATATATATATATATATATATATAACATTTCTAATATATTTCAATATGGCATAACATACCATATTCAGTTTTGGGTTATGTTAGTTAGGTAGGTACAGCGTTTTGGCTGTGCTTGTTTCTAAGAGAGAGGGGAAAAAGTAACTTTAAAGCAGTAGTCATTGAATTTTATGCCAAAGCAATGGAAAATTATCAACAGTTTAGCCCACATAGACTGCTGTTGTGCTCAATGTATGCTAAGTTTTGAGAATTGGGTCCTTGTGATTATTAAAAAAATATCCTTCAAACTACCTGATTTTGAGTTCCTCATACATTAAATTCACAAGATATCTTTGAACCATCTTGAACAGCAAGTAAAATCTCTTTCAGATCATGGAATAAACAATTTCAAAAACTGTTTTTGTCAAAGCATGACATATTCCCTTAACATTTGCCACAACACTAAGTCATGTTTTACCTTAGTTGTTTATATAGACCAAAAATGTCAAACACTTTAACAACTAATCTAGCCTTATGAAGAGTATTTTGATTAGCCAAGCTTGGCAGCAAGTCAGTTGCCTTCTGTTTTGCTCATTTATATCCACTTATTTCTACAGTCCCCAACTGACTGTCATAAAACCCTGAAAGGGTTCATATGATTGATTCACAAGACATTGTGATCCAAGTTAAATGTTGCACCTTTTCGAGTAAGAACCCCAGAAGTTTCAATCTCCATCTTTAAAGAAAATGCTCTGCTTTGGCCTTCATTGCCATCTGCTCTTGTGTTGGCAGGTATATATGCATGAAGCACAGATCTACAGTGTCAGTGATTCCACTTTAACTTAAGACCCCAAATCACTGACCCCAGAACAGGGTCAATCTATCTTCACTGTTGAGGCTGCAGTAAGCTCAATACCAAATGTCCACAGGTAATTCAGACTTTGAGGGCATGCTGAAACATCATCTGTTTTACCATTCACTCCAGTAATGGCTAAACAGCCTATGTTACTTGAAATTCTCTCTCTCTTTGTGGGAGCATTGATCACCAGTCCCGTGCTTTCTTCCTGTCTTGAGCACTGGAGCTTGCTCGGCCTCTCTTCTGTCCCGCGAGAGTGCTGCTCAGCATGTGGCGTTCAACGAGAGGTGATGATGAAGTGTTCTTCAGGTCCTGAGTTCTGCGATGCATGTTTAAAAACCTCCCACATTCCTCGAACCCACAAGACCATGCAATTTCTTCAGCGGTCTGTCCATCTTTGTTACAAATTCTGAACAGAAGGGGGGAAAATTATTGGAAAAGTGTTCATACTGTATTCATAAGAATACTGTTGTTGAGGATTATGTTTGCATTAACAGGAATGGAGCATTCCTGTTATGTTAATGCTTTTTTGAACTTCTTAAAATCAATGTGCATGTGTATATCTAAATATATATATATATATATATATATATATATATATATATATATATATAGTGTTCCAGACTTTAAGATGTGCACTGGTACAATCTCAAGCACATAAATTAACTGGACATGTGGCTTGGTTATTTATTGGTATCAACAGGAAAAGAAAAGGTTTTTCAATGAGGGGTTGAGAGTTAGGGATTGAGCAAGGATGCATTGAATTGATCAGAAGTGACTTGCACTGTTTAAAACATCTATTTTAAATATATTTAACATTATATTTATCAAATAATCTGAAATGTTTCCACAAAAATACTAAAAACTAGCACAATTGTTTTCAACACTGACAGACTGGAGTAATTTAGCTCTGCTATCACATGAATTTTAAAATATATTCAATTACAACATTTAAATTGTAATATATCACAATATAAAGATTTCTTTTTAATGAAATAAATGCTTGGTAATAATAAGAGACTTCTTTCAAAATCCAAAAATAAAAAATTAAAGACCCTAAACTTATGAACGGTATAGCACTCGGCTTCAACATTTTCCAATGTCTTTTGTTTGAAAAGTTTTTTTTTTTTTTTAATTGTGGGAGACCTTTTTACCAGAATGAAATATGTAAAAGTGAAACAACCCTAACAGCCTACCATAAACTGGCCGTAAACAATTTTATCAAGAAAAAGGTTCAGTTATTTGAAGTTCATGTACTCTATAAGCTAGGTCTGTGAAAGGTCAACTATGATAGCCAACCATAATGTGACTATAGTACGCATTGCAAGAACGACATTATAATACTAATTTGAACTATGCAAATACTGTGGTTATATTTCTCTCTGTCAAATAAACGCTAGGAGGAGGAACAATTCAACCTCCCACATGCACTTACTCGAAATGTGCATCACTGGCCATCAGCACACTGATGCACTCCAAACTGCCCGCTCTGGCTGCTTTATGAATGGGTGTCTCTCCACTTGCGTCCTTAAAAACACAGAGAAGATTAGACCCAAGTAACTACCGCTGGGTCAAGTTGTGTTAATACGTTTTAGGACGACATACCTGTTGGTTTGCATCAGCACCGGTTTGCAGCAGCCAAAGCAAGCAGAAAGCCTGACCTCCGCATGCCGCGAGATGCGCAGGAGACTGTCCGTGCCCCGGACCATTCAAACCATTGACAGCAAACCCGCTTTCAAAAAGATTGCTCGGACAGTCCTGAATGAAATGATTTTGACAAATAATAGCTTTCGTTATGGTTTCTTAAATCTCTGAGATATTTTTTAGCGACTTGGTTAGACATAGCGCTTAATAGTATTTTGAATTGCATTGACTTACCGACTCTGTCTCAAGCAAAAACATAGCTGTTGTCTGGAATAATGTCAAAGAATAATGCCGTAGGGCAGGGTATTAAAGTTGTGTTAGGCGTGACAGCTATTCCGCTGCTAAACATCAGTGTTCTGCAATCAAACACGCACACATGCATAATACATGATCTCATTTTCAATGAAAAGCAGAAGTATAAAAGCTATTTACACCACATGGTTCTTTGATGCTGACCAATCAGAATCAAGAAAGGCACGTGACTATGCGTCAATACGCCCACAGCTCGCGAACAAGCTGTGTGCAGTTCCACACGTAGGCACTTTAATCATCAATTCACAGCATACTCTGAGACATTGCTTTTAATAAGTAGATTTAATAAGAATACATTCTGGTGTTTCGAAAAAAAAATGTTTTATCTTATTTGAGAAAAAAGAAAAAAAAACAACTACAAGTCATTTTAAATTGAAGTGGGTTTTGGGCAGAGACAAATTATTTTGAACACACCAATTATTTTTGTTGGGTTGTTCTCAGAAATTACGTTGGGTTTTTTTTAGGTTTTTTTTTTTTTTATGCTTTCGAGTTTATGGTTATTTGTCATCTGCTGCTTTCCAAATTATGCCAACATTTATTTATTTATTTATTTTATTTTATTTTTTTGCTGCAGAAATACATTGCATCACAAATGAGGTTGAACAAAACTCAAATGGTAATAATATATTTTATATATAATATATATGCATAATAAAAAATTTTAATAAATGTACTCGCTGTTGGAGTGTGCTTCAGCACTGCCCTTCACCTGTACCTATACACATGTAAATATTTTGCCAAATCTATTATAGCTAATGGCAAAGGGTGGCAAGACTTGCATGGTGTGAGGATGATGGATCAATTGTCATGCCACTTGTGCCAAGTAAACATGAAAGGGGCTTTGAGGGAATGTTATGCCCACAATTTAGCGCAATGCCCTTTAAGAATGAGCATCATTAAACATGCACAGTTGTCACGTACTATAATATCCCAGACAAAGGCGAGCTTGTTTAGCTGCTGAATTAATATTTTGAAACAGATAATTCAACTCAGATGGTTATGTGGAGATGGTTGATTTGTCATTGACATCACAATAAATGAATGCACTGCATAAACATACAGATGTGATTTAGTCCAAAAAACTAATTAGACAATGGAAATTAGTTAATGAAAGTATATAATTTGACTTACATTTAATTGTTGATATATTAATTTAATAATGTTGTTCAGTCAGTTGATAGGCATTGACTTCCATGGCATTTTTTTCCCTAACTGTGGAAGTCAATTGCCAACATTCTTAAAAATATCTTATTTTGTGTTCAAGAAAGAAACTCATACAGGTTTAAAACAACTTGAGGGTGAGTAAATGGTGACATGTTTTTATTTTGGGGTGAATTCTTTTATTTAAAGATGCCACTTGACAGATGAGTATCTTCACACTCATACGTATCTTCAGCACTCTTAGAGTGCTGAAATGAAAAATGCTTCTAAAAAAGTAAAAGAATTTTTAGTTTATTTTTATAAAAAATGCACAAAAGGCCTAATACTATTTGCATTTTTTATATGGAACAGGCTATATATTTTTCAAAACAAGTTTTACTCTAAAATTCAAAGGAAAATCAAAGCCATAACCATAAATATACAAGTTGTGTTCCAAATTTGAAATTTGAGTTTGATATCTTAAAAAAAAAAAAAAAAAAAAAAATCAGTAAGATTTTGTTTGGGCGCAATACCTAGCATTTCAACTTGATGTGGATTCAGGACTATTTCTTTCAGGACTCTTCCTTTCCCATTAATTTTCAATGCACGCGGACTGGCCATAGACAGTGAAAGAAAGGGACCGACTATTTCTTTCAGGACTATTTAACCTTTTCGAATTATGTTTATGTTTTATGATCTCATACAATCTCACATACGTTGATGATGGATAGGATGGACATTGAGACGCAGGGCAAGTTTCGTACGATATCGAAGGAAACAAACAAACAAACAAACAAACAAACAAACAAAAACTACATTAATTAAATTAACTGCTTGCATTACCATATATCAGCAAGTGTAAGCCAGATGTTACAAGAGAAAATACGTAGCTGCCAATGGAGGGACAGAAGCTATTCACAAAAGAAGAGCCCGCTACATCAAAAAGAGATTTCATCAAAAATATTTTCATTTGTGTTCCGAAGATGAACGAAAGTCTTACGAGGTTGGTACGACATGAAGTTGAGAAAATAATGTCAGAATTTTCATTTTGGTGTGAACTATCCCTTTAAACGTGGACGCGTGATGCGGCGCCAAAATATTTAAGGAAATGACGTCACTTAGTTACCGTATCCATCAAGCCCACACACTCATCTGTGCAGCCAGCGAGCTGAACAGTTTAAAGAGTCTGTTTTAAGTCTTATCCTCAACCTTTATCTTTCTGAACAGCATTTGGAGATTTATTGCGTATTAAAATGAAGTACGTCAACTCTATGGTTTGGAGACTTCGCCTGACAGTGTCGCGGACCCGCATGTTTTTGTTGTAATGTCAAAAGGTAGGCACTGCTAACTGCATTAACGTTAGAATTGTTCATAAAATAACATATATAGATTAAACGTAGAGCACGCCAGCATGCTGAACGTGAATGTGGCTGCATTGCAAAGTTAAATCAACTGCTGCATGGTTCTCGTCATAGAAACATTTCCCCCGTGTGTTTGTGTTATGAGCATCTCTTTAAAAGTGTTAATTGAGCCTTTTCCTGGTAACGTTACCTTAACAGCTTTGCAAGGTCTCAAGCGTATTGGTGTTTTGATTAATGCCAGAAAACACTAACGTTACACCGATGATAGGTTTAATATATTTCTGAGTGTACCGATAGTGGTTCTCTACATGTTTGACTCCAAATTATCCACTATATGAAGACATTGTGCCTTTTCCTGTTTGTGATTTCATTGACAATGATTAAGGATAAAATTTATTTTTAAAATGTTTTTTTTTAAACTAAATTTCTCCCTAATTAAATCATAACTAGAAAAAAAATTATGAAATAATTATGTAGAATCTATATGCATTTTTTTCTAGGACGTAGGACCCTTCGGCCATTCTACAATCGGGGTGCATTGAAGTAAGAAATATTGTAATTTCAGGCTTATTTTAATGATTTTCTTTTTATTTATTTTTTAAAATAATGAGGCCCTGTATGCACCCTGCCCCCTGGTTTGAGAACCACTGCTCAATATAATGTAATAGTTGCTGGTATATAAAAAGTTTTTGCTTTTTCCTTTTTCATGCAGGTTCCACTAAATGAGGGCACATTTGGAAGACACACAACAGACATGTACAGCCCCAAAGAGTTAGAGGGAGAAGTTGACCACTCGTTCTTTGACAGCGACTGTGAATCTACTGGACTTAATGAACGGCTCAATAAACAGAAGGCCTCAGAACGACATGATGAGAGAACAGCAAAAGAGACCCATGTTTCAATGGATCAGATAGGGAGTGAAGTTCAAAGTGGGAGGAACACTAAAGATAAAGCCAGATTGGAGAATGCTTCAAACCAGCAGGACAGACTGGGACAGAGTAAAGAGACAGAAAATGAAAGAGAGAGACAAAGTACTGATGTACTTCTCAAAGGCTCCTCAAAACTCCCAAGAGCCACAAGCACAGGGACTATGAACAACAGCCGATCTAGTGTGCATTCATCCTCGTCTGATGAGGAAAAGGAGCTGGATGAGAAGCATGTTGTTTTTAAACCCATGAAAACCAATGTTGATGCTAACCGTGATGATGATGATGGATATCACCGTAGTGACGATGAAAGTGAGGAGGACGATGTGAGATCATCAAAACATAAGAGATTGTCCCATGGAACACCTAAAAAATCTGCTGGTAAATTCCACAAGCTGAGCCGCAGCCACTCGTCATCATCCGACCCAGAGTCCTCACACAGCGGTGACGAGAAAAGCTCAATTCGCTCGCAGAAACATCATCGGGTAGGTTCAGCTAACCAGAAAGAGCGACAAAAAGAAGTGGCAGAATCTGACGACACAGTCACTGATGTTACCCCTCTCTCGACACCAAATGTTAGTCCTTCCCAGTCCATTGATGTTGTTCTGCCTTCTGAACACTTGCCAGCAGATGTTCAACAACAGCAGCCCAGAGTTGCTGAGGAGATAGTTGTGAATGATGATTCGGACGGTCAGGGCAGCATAAGTTCTGAAGGAGAGAACGGATCAGGTTTGTGCAATGAATCGAAATGGTTTTTGTTGTTGTTGTGGCTGTTTCTCAAGAATCTCTGTCTGTCTGTCTCCCTTGCAGTGTTTTTAAAAGCAGAGAAACAATTAGACAGAGTACCTGTGGTCTCCAGCCCTGGCAGTGTTGGGAGCAGTCGTAAGAACTATTCCTTCTCAAATGAAGAGGTACGAGAGATTGACCGGGAGAATCAGCGGCTATTACGTGAACTATCCCATTCCAGTGCTAGTTCGCGTAGCAGAAGCTCCGCCTGCTCCAAAACCAGCAGTCGAAGGAGCAATGCACCAGCTATACGTCTTTACCACAGTGCCCTCAACAGACAACGAGAGCAAGAGCGAATCCAGAGGGAAAACCTGGTCAGTACAGTCTCTTCACAGGAAAATATTTTCGCTCATTCCACTAGATGGAGTTATTCCCTATGTTTTTATTTATGCAGTGCACTTCCGTTCAATATAAGATTAGATGTGAATTTGAATCACACTGAGAGCAACTCTTATTATAAGAGAGAAGCTTTCATCAACTGTTGGCCTCAGTCAAGGAAGTAATTGTGTGTTTACTTTAAGTGTACACTTGAGGAGCATATGCATGTACACTACTGTTCAAAAGTTTAGAATTTCTTTTGAAAAAAGAAAATAATTTCTTTAAAAATCCTATTTAGCTTGGATGCATTGATTTGATCAGAAGTGACCGTAGAGTTTGACATGTTACAAAAAAAATAAATAAAAAAAAAATAAAATAATAAAAATAAGATATTTATCAACAAATGCTGTACCATGGTTTCCACAAAAAAAAAAAAAAATAAATAAGCAGCACAACCGCTTTCGACATTGTTAAAGATTATAAAAAAAAGTTTCTTGTGCGCTAAAATAAGCATATTAGAAGGATTTCTGAGGAATCATGTGACACTGAAGACTGCTGAAAATTCAGCTTTGCCATCACAGGAATAAACTGCA